CAAAAAGTGGGGTCTGAACAAAATTAATAAAAGCCAGTTTATTTAATCTAACTAAATTGCCTAGTCTGTCTATATTGGGAGCAGCCCAACCCACCTCAGAGGCTATAACTTCTTCCAGAATTGTAGAATCCGGGAAGCCTTGGTATAGTTCGATACGCTCGACAAGCTGAACACAGCCATACCAAGTTGCCTCAGATTCGACAATTTTTAACTAAGTAAAAGCCTCGGCGGTAGGTTGGGGTGTACTTATCTATATTTTATCTATTTTTTAATTTTTTATTTAAAAATATTGTAGGTACTTATCCCTTATACCACACCCCCTCAAAGTAGTGTCCAAAATGTCATATATAGGGTAATAAAGGGTGCTGATCACGATTATGGTGTTTATTTCTCAATATAAGAACCCCCTCACCCATAAATTGTCATGGTTCATAATGGTCAAACTTCAAGTTTGGACGCATTTGACTACCACAATGGCAGAAACGTTCAGTATGAAGCAAACCGCAATTTTGAAAAAATTTTGCAGCGTTTGATTCATCAGGACATCCCCCCATTAGTGTGTCGTAATTATAGGGCATTTTTTATTTATTTTTATTATTATGGGTTCAAATGAATGAAATCTCATTAACGACCTCTCATTAAACGACCAATAATCACACAGAAAATAAATATTAAATATTAGTGCATTAATAAATATATGCAAAATAAATATTAGTGCATTAATATTGCTCATACCTATATATTTATTTAAATAAAAACTTGAAGTTTGACCATTATGAACCATGACAATTTATGGGTGAGGGGGTTCTTATATTGAGAAATAAACACCATAATCGTGATCAGCACCCTTTATTACCCCATATATGACATTTTGGACACTACTTTGAGGGGGTGTGGTATAAGGGATAAGTACCATATTGTATGTACCTTTTTAATTTTTTCGTCCAAAAAAATAATTTTCTCCTCTTTTTGAACATTTCCAGTTTTTAATTGCATATTTAAATTTTTAATTTTATTTTCATTATCAAAATTTGTTTTTTGAATTTTCTAAAATTATTTGATTTTTTAAATTAAATCTTCAAAAAATATTTCAATTAAAACAGCTACGGTAATCTTATTTTCAAAAAGTTTCATTTCGGCAATTGGAGCTTCTTCGTGAATTTTAAATAAAAAATATAAATTAATTACGTTTTTAAGTGCATTCTCCAAAGAACTAATTTTGTCATCTTTTTGTTTTAAACAAATATTGTGTTCAGATTTTAATTGTAGAATATTTTGTTTTAAATTTTTAATTTCATTTCCTTGCTGTTCCAACAAAAGTTTTTGGATTTCCTAAAAATAATATTTAAAAAATGCCCCAGCTGGACGGTAAAGTCAAAGTATCCATTAGAGATCGAGATTTTTGAAAAGCCTGGACCTGTTCCTGGACTCTGGAGTTTGATTCTTGACCTGGACTGGATCCTGGGCCTGTAGTCCAGGAAAAACCCAGGTCTAGGAAAACCCCAGGAAGGGTAAAAAATGCCTGGACTGGACTCTGGGTACAGGAAAAACCCAGGCCTTGGTCCCGGTCCAGCTCGATCTCTAGTATCCAGATCCGCTCTAGTAATTTTCAACAAAAAATTATTTTGTTACCTCAACTTTTTCTAAACGTTGTTTTAAACTTTTAATTATATTTTGTGATAGACGACAAGAAGCACAAGCTTTTGATTTGCCTCCGTCATTCATTTTTTGTTTGGATTTTTTAATTTAAATATTTTAAAAGAATTTTATTTAAACAAAGCTTAAAATTAAAAATTTATTTTATTCAATTTTTATAAATTTATTTTTAAAAATTCGCAATTTTGATCGAAAAAATACGCAATTTATATCAAAAATCCGCAAAAAATTATCAGACACAAAAACTGAAATAAAATCACTTTATTCTTAAGCCAAAAAACCACAAAATGAGGAAAAATCGGTAATAGTCGGTTTCGTACCCCCCACTCCTTTTTCCTTCCTAAAAGTATTAAAAATGGTCAGTCAGCCTTAGTTTATAGAACTCGTTGAGCTGTGTCGAATGACACCAAAATCAACCCCCGGGTCTTAACTTTGGGCCGAGATACAGACAAAAGCCCTGCGCAAAGCGAAAGGTTTCACCGACTACAATAGGATTACTTTATGTCATAACTTTGTCAAATCTTGTTCAATTATGTTGATTTTGATGTCATTCGAATCAGCTCGACAAGCTCTTTCGAATGAGCTATTATTTGTTTAAAAATGAGCGTGGTCCAAAAAAATGAGCTTGGTCCACCCTTTTATTTTTTAAATTTCGGGGGTCTGTATCTCGGCCCAAAGTTAAGACCAGGGGTTGATTTCGGTGCCATTCGACACAGCTCGACGAGTTCTATAAACTAAGACTGACTGACCATTTTTTAATACTTTTAGGAAGGAAAAAGTAGTGGGGGGTACGAAACCGACTATTACCGAAAAATCCGCAGATACCGAAACCCTGATCTAAAACTATTTATCAAAAAAAATTCAGAAAAAATAGACGAGATTTTTGTTTAATATTTTTTGAAAAAAGGGGCGTGGCTTAAGGGGGTAAACTATACAAGTAATATTTTTCAAAACTAAAATTTTAATTTTATGAAGAAAGGAACAGAATTAAAATTGATATGTATTTATATGTACATGTATTAAATGATTTTTTGCCCATAGAATGATTTGTTGTTGGGAAGAAAAAGAGAAGAAAAAAAGAATTAATTTATTTTTTGAGGGAATAATTTAAATAAATTTAAAATAAAAAATGTTTTTAGAGGGTAAATATTTTATATTTATCTATCGGAATTAAAAATAAAGATTAAAAATAAAAAGATTCCCTCAAGAAATAAACTGCGGTGCAAAAGTTTATGCACAATTGATAATTGTGTGTTTATGCACTTTACAAAAATTGGATTTAATGCCGAAAAAAAACAAAAATATTTTTTATGCCCATTTTCATCGATATTATGTAGAAATTGAGAAAGAACGAAGTCGGATTTTCGAAAATCGACGGGAATAGAGGCGCAATGCTTGAAAAAAATATTTTAACCCCCTAGAGCTTATATAGAACTTTTCTTTAAGCTCATCTGAAAGCACATAAAATTTCCTACAAAATACACCTGATCATATATGTGAAAAATTTTCATAAGTGTTAGGGGTGTTCACTACCTTCATATGGGTTCACTGTCATCATCCTTTCATCTTCACTGATTCATCTTCACCTCACTTTTTAACATATATATTCATAGAGAAATGGGGCAAAAATCGTTAAATAGGTAAATATATAAATATACTAATGTTTATTATTTTTCATTCATTTACCTTCTACTCTTCACAAATACAAATTCTTATTTCTTTGCTCCTAACATCTACAAAAAAATTTTTCCAAAAATATTTCTCCCAAAAAAACTATTTAAAATATCCCGAATTTTTCTAATCCAAACTCCAATTAAAAAAAAAATATTTTATAAAATGAATATGAACACAACAAAACAATATATGAGAAGAAGTTGTGATAACATTAAATATAAAGTTGAAAAGGAGCCGGAAAAATATAAATATTCAACATTTAAAAAAAATAATAATTTGAAGCCATCGTGTAATGAAGGTTTATCCAATTATGGTAGTTCATCATGCTCAACACAAAATATAATTAAAAATTTTAAAAATTATTCAGAGAAATTAGAGGTTAAAAATTATTTTTTTTGTAATGTTGCCTTTCCAAATCAAATCGCCTTCTCTGCGCCACAAAAAAATTTTGAAAATTTGGAAAATGCCAGATTTAGTCCTTTCTCATAAAAAGTTAAAAAGGGAGTAAATGCCCTTAAAAGTGGACAAATGTCACTAAATACCACCACAAAAGTGGGCAAAATGTCCCTAAAGGTGTTACGACAATTGCGGATACGCAACTGCGGATATGGCAATTGCGGATTAAAAACATTTTTAAATTTCTTTAAATTATTTAAATGAAATCATGTTTTTTGGTCCAGGCTGTCAGTTTCCGACTTCTGTCTTGTTCTCGAATCATTTCTAGAATGAAACGACACATAAAACTTTAAATATCTTAAAAATTCTTGAAATTTTATATCCGCAATCGTCATCCCGAATTGCGTATCCGGAATTGTCGTACAGCCACCCTAAATACCCCCCTTAATGTGGGCAAATGCCACCTGATATTCTAGAGGCTGTATTTAAAAATAAACTTATATTTCAGTTGAAGTTAGAAAAAAATGATGTAATTTTGGAAAACAGAGATTTAATTCTCGAAAATATTACTATGAAATTTCAAAGGGAATTGAAGGAAAGAGATGAAAGTATTAATTTTTTGGAAGGAGAAATTAAAAAGGTAAATTTGCTAATTAATTAACTGCCTTATAGGCAAATTGAGTAAAAAAGTTCATCAAGTAAATCAAGTATCAAGCTCAAAAAACTCAAAATGTCAGGGATTCAGGAAGAAGGGGGGGGGGTAAACGTAACCAATACCAAATAACTTTGTTGAAAAAAAAAGATATCAACAAGTTTTCACTAAATTTCAATTATTTTCAGGAAAGGATTAAACATGAAGATGAAATTAAAAATTTAATAGAAGATTTCCAACATCAGATGGCAGAAAACAGTAAACAACTTAAAAAAAACAATGACATCCTCTTAAAACAAAAAGATGACAAAATTAAATATTTGGAGGACGCTCTTAAAAACGTGAATACCTAATTTATTTTTTGCTTTAAAGTCACGAAGAAAGCCCCAATTGCCGAATTGAAACTTTTCGAAAATTTGAAATTAATTAAATTGAAAATAAAGTGTTATTTATTAAATTTAATTTATTAAATTTAAATTAAATTTAATTTAAAAAATTAAATTGAAACTTAAATTAGATCAAGCAAAAAAGCTAAAAATGCTTTTGAAAATAAAAATTGGGGGATTTAAACCAAACTATTATTTTTTAAATTTTATCTAAAAAATCAAATAATTTTAGAAAATTCAAAAAACAAATTCTGATAATGAAAATAAAATTGAAAAATTAAACATGGAACAAGAGAATGAGATAAAAAATTTAAATGAGAATATTAAACAATTAAAAGCTGAAAATGAGCAAAAAGATAAGAAAATTAATTATTTTGAGAAGAAAATTGATGATTTAAGCAAGGTGTATTGCACTAGATATGTGGTAGTTTATAGTTTTAAAATTATTAGAAAATCTTTTTTTAAAGGATTTTTTTAATCTCAAAAATGAGTTGGTTTTTAATGATAATGGACGTTGTAAGTCAGGGCTCTCATTCGTGCTTTATTTGAAAGTATTATACTTTGAAACCGACCTCCATACTTATGAAATTGAATTTATACTTTATTGAAAGTATATACTTTGAAATCAACATTTTTGATTGAGAATGAAATTGGGGAAGGGATTGGGCAAAAAGTAAATTTTTTTAGCCTTGGGCCTTCGAAATTATCAAAATTTTCGCCTGCGGCGCTGAAAAAGAAAGAAATCTGGCTTCTTGAACTCCAAAATGTGAAATTTGGGCACGATATTTAAGGATCAAGAGTGTTTGTGGAGTTATATGCGGAAGTTATCATGGATGGACTCACCCCTAAAGACGGCTTTTTTAGACCTTTTATTTTTAAAAAACACTCTCCTACTTCGAAATAAAATTATTTTAAGGAAAAGGAAAAGAGTTATTTATAATTTCACCATTCATTATGTAGGTCGGTGGTTGAGTGGTTAGGTTGACTGAATTTGCTTACCTAGAAATTTCGTGTGGTGGGTTCGAATCCAGGTTATCAAAATTATCGCTGCGGCGCTGAAAATGGATGAAAGTAATTTGCTTGCGGTTAAGACTGTCAGGGCTTTATTTCTTGTATCAGCGAATTTTGACATGCATGCGTTGAAATGCACAAAATGCTCAGTGGAAGCAAGAAATTATTAGAAAAGATTAATTTAGGAGAGAAATATAAAAGATTTGAGCACGAATAAATATTTTCCAATTTAATTTGGAGTATACTTTAAATTTGGAAATTTTCTCCCTATATACTTTTTTATCAAGATTTTGATACTTTTGAGTGGCATTTTGTCGATGAGAGCCCTGTATTTACTTGATGTGGTACACACTCTCTATATCGTTACACTATATGTCGACAAAAAAATTTTAAATAATTTGATTATTTGTTTAGATTGTGGGATATTATATATCCTTATATATATATCCCTATATTAAAATCCCGCATTTTTGGTATCCGAGCGATTGTGATACTTTCGGAGTATTTTTTAATATACACCCCATGGACACTAAGGTTGTCGGATAGTTGGAAATCTTCGGATATTCGGATCCGATATCCAAATCGAAAATTTCCGGATATCCGGTCTTTTTTCGGATCCGGATCCGACAACCTTAATGGACACGATTATGTAAAATCCAGCATATCAATTATTACTTCAAGCAAATAATCAATTTATAGAAAAATTTTATAGGGTGCGGTATACGAGTTGTGTGTGTTTGTATGGGAAATGAGTTAAAATTTTTAAAATTTGAATTTTAGATTATACATCAAAATATTCATTTAAAGAACCACGTGATAGTCTAACATTTACTTTATATTATTTTGAAGTTAAATGCAAATTTAATTATTCTGATGAAAAATACAAAAGACTCCAAATTTCCTTAAAAAGTAGTATTACAGATAAATATATAGCATTTTTTGCTTCCTCATCTACAATTCATAACGAAGAAAATAAATCATTTAATCTTGCACCAATTTCTTGGAATAATAATGATACCTTTGGTTGCGGGTTAATTTATCCACCAAAGAATAAAGTAAATCAAGGGTCAATCCCTTATGTATTCTTCACTCAGAATGGAGAACAAATTGGTAAAAATATATCTTATTAAAATATTTTTAATAAAATTGATTTTTAAGGTAAAGCTATTTTAATAAAAGATGATTTCTGCAAATGTAAACCAAGTATCTATAATAGTCGTTGTTCAATTGCAGTTAACTTCGGAAATGATTTGCTTAATAAACCATTTATTTATAGCATTTCAAAACATTTAATTCTTAAAGAATTTTATGAAACTGATTCAAAATAATTTTCTTTTGAATGTTTTGATCTGTTCTAATGTGTATGTATATTAATTTTATTTTTTTTAATTTTAAACAAATTAATTTTTTTAATTTATTAATGTATACTAACCTATTTATTTAAAAAAAATATTTCAATTTTTATATGATTTTTAATTGGTAAAAGAATTACGTTTATTCGAATTAGTTGGTTTGTTTTTGTGTTGTAAATTAGGTCTCTGATTGTAATAAGCCATATTTTCCTCCTTAATTGGTAGAGGCCGCTCGGAAAATGTTTACATAGGTAAATAAATATAGAGCTTACCCAGAGCTTACCTAAGATAAAGAGAGAGTTTACCCAAGATAAATTTTTAATCTTTATTTTTAATTCTGATGGAAAATATAAAATATTTACTCTCTAAAAACATTTTTTATTTTAAATTTATTTAAATTATTCCCTCAAAAAATAAATTAATTCTTTTTTCTTCCCCTTTTTCTTCCCAACAACAAATCATTCTATGGGCAAAAAATCATTTAATACATAAATGTACATACATATAAATATATCAATTTAAATTCAGTTCCATCAATTAACTTTTTATCATAATTTCTTCATAAAATCAAAATTTAGATTTGAAAAATATATTTGTGTAGTTTACCCCCCTTAAGCCACGCCCCTTTTTTCAAAAATATTAAACAAAAATCTCGTCTAATTCTCAATTTATTTTTTTGATAGATAGTTTTAGACTTATTTCTTAAATTTTTATAAATTGAATAAAATAAATTTTTAATTTTAAGCTTTGTTTAAATAAAATTCTTTTTATTATTGAATTAAAAAATCCAAACAAAAAATGAATGACGGAGGCAAATCAAAAGCTTGTGCTTCTTGTCGTCTATCACAAAATATAATTAAAAGTTTAAAACAACGTTTAGAAAAAGTTGAGGTAACAAAATAATTTTTTGTTGAAAATTACTAGAGCGGATCTGGATTAGAGACCGGTAAAATCGCATTTGCGGGATCCCGAGTCGGGATTTTTTTCTTAACCGATACCGGGACGGGATCCCGCGGGATAAATCACGAAAAATCCCGGATCCCGAATGATCCCGAAAATCAAAATATTTCGGGATCCCCCAAAATCCCGCGCGGGATCCCGTCCCGCACCGGTCTCTGATCTGGATACTTTCTTCTTTTACCGTCCAGCTGGGGCATTTTTTTAAATATTATTTTTAGGAAATCCAAAAACTTTTGTTGGAACAGCAAGGAAACGAAATTAAAAATTTAAAACAAAATATTCTACAATTAAAATCTGAACACAATATTTGTTTAAAACAAAAAGATGACAAAATTAGTTCTTTGGAGAATGCACTTAAAAACGTAATTAATTTATATTTTTTACTTAAAATTCACAAAAAAGCCCCAATTGAAATATTTTTAATGATTTAATTTAAAAAATCTTTAAATTTTAGAAAATTCAAAAAATAAATTATGATAATGAAAATAAAATTGAAAAGTTAAATGTGCAATTAAAAACAAGAAATGCTCAAAAAGAGGAGAAAATTAATTTTTTGGATGAAAAAATTAAGAAGGTACACGATATTTTTCAATAAAAAATTTAAAAAATAGATAAAATAAAGATAGACTAGGCAATTTAGTTAAATAAATTGACTTGGATTAATTTTGTTCAGACCCCACTTTTTGCTTCCCTGACCATTATGAGCTTTTTTGTTTATACCATTCGAGAGAGCTCCTCGAGCTGGGTCAATGATACCAAAATAGATTAGATTTGAACTTTCTGTACAAAATTAGAAAGCTGGAATCCTCGATGTAAAAGTTTTTAAGCTTCGAAAGAGATCAAAATAAACGGTCATAACTTTGTAGCTTAGGTATATGTCAGATTTGTTGATTTAGTATTCTCGAAGAGCTAAGTCGGATGGGATATCTAATTTTCAATAAAAAGAGAATAGATGCTGCAAAGGGAAAATAAAAATAGGGAAGGGAGGGGGTTCTAGTGAAGGTAGATAGATGTGTGTTTATGTAATTTATATAAGTAATTTTAATTAATTTAATAAATATTTTTTCAAAGTGTTTTGTCAAAATTAAAAATAAATGGAGTGAAATTGATAGTGAATGTTGTTTCAATAATTGTATAAATACTAAAAACCCCCTTAATAAATGTATTAAAGGCAATGGATTTGGAAATTTAATTAATGATGAAAATATTAAATATATGTTGAAGAATGGTGAAGGTATATATTGCAGAGATGGGCCGGGTTGAGAAAATGTTGGGTCGGAGGTTCGGGTTTCGGGTCGAGAAAAAGTTCTGGTTTCGTGTCGGGTTTTGGAAAATTTTTCATGCGGATTTCGGGTCAAAAAAAGCCCGGATTTCGAGTAACCCGGCCTATTCCTGGTATAGTTATGAAAATTTTAAATCTTTTATAATATTTTTAGGCTGTAATAGAATATTTTTAGTAAATGCAGAAAATTCATTCAACAAACCACGAAATAATTTTAATTATTTTTTATATTATTTTGAAGTTAAATGTAAATTTGAAGGAAAATTAGAAAATAAAGATGGAAGACGATTGGTTATTGGTCTCAAAAATTTAAATAAAAATAGGGATATTTTTTATTGTGCGAATGAATCTACAATTTTTATTGAGCGTAGTGACTCAGTTGAACTTGAAACATATTTTAATAATAACGATATTTTTGGTTGTGGATTAGTCTATCCTCCAATTAATAGATTAGATGAATTTCCTTATATTTTCTTTACACAAAATGGAAAACAAATTGGTAATAAATTAAAAAATATTTTGGCACTTTTTTGGATAATTCGCCCCCCTCCCTCCCTAGTTTTGAGTATCAGTTAGGGTTGTCCCCGTCCCCGAAAGTCGGGGACTTTGAGAGACCTTAATACACCTTAACCACATTAATGCACCTTAACTAATGCTTGAGGAAAATAAATAATGGGCATGATGAAAGAAAGAATAAGGAGAGAAGGGGTGCGCGGCAAAGAATAAGGAGAGGAGGGGGGGGGCGGCATATCCCAAAAATACCAGAATATTTTTTTAAAAAATGTTTTTAAGGTAAAGCTATATTATTAAAAAACAAGTTTGACTCATATGAACCTAATGTTGAGTTGGAATGTTGTTCTGTTGAAACTAATTTTGGAAATGATTTGAAGACTAAACCATTTAAATATGACATCTTTGAATATTTAGTTATTAAAGAATTTTATTGAAAAATAATTTGTTTTATTTTGACTATTTTTCTGAACTTATAAAATAAAAGTAAAAAAATACATAAAAATAGACTTTTAATTTTATTTTTTTCCAAATAATTCTACATTCTTAATCTGAGTTTAATTTTCACCAAAAAAATTTAAAAGATCGAAGAAAAGTTTTACTTTAAATTTTGTCTAATATTAACATCAAATAAACGGATTAGTGTTTTTATTTTCAGTTTCATTCAGAAAAACTTTGAGCAACCAAATTGGTATTTGGAACTTCTTATCTGTTTGAAATTTCAGAAAATTATAGCCAATTTTTATAAATTTCAGAAAAACGATTGCAACTTTCTGAAATTTCAAGGATTAGGGTAAAGAATGGCCCCAGACCCAATGGGAGATCCCGAACATGAAGAAATGTTTTGGAACCATACCCCGTCTTTGCAACACCAAATTTTGGGGTTTCGAGATGGGGGGGGGGGGGGGGGGGAGGATTATTGATAGGAGTTGAAGGAGGGGAATTATTTGAGGGGGGATTAGTGCTTCAACCTATATCTGGCAGGGGGGGGGGGTGGGCAGATTTTGGTTGTCGTTATTTAATATACAACATTTTAATTTAAATTTCTTCAAATTGCCAAATATAATGTTTGGCGAAGTGTTTTTTAACTGACATTATTTCCTGTCTCCTCGATTTGTATGCTATTTTCCCCTAAAATTAGACAAATTTTACTTTTAAAATTAAATTAATTTCTCCAGCAAAGAAAAAATTTTTTATATCCATTTGACTGCTAAAAAAGGAGCTAATTAAAGAGAGAAAAGTTCCGTTAAATATAAAAATCCATAAAATATATTATTTTAATTATAAGCTGCTTGATATATTTAGGGAAGAAAAAAGAGTAATTTTGTGTGTGTTTTAGCAGCAGGATGCTTTTAAAAGTAGAAAATTTTCTTGGATTATTTTTTTTCTTTGGAACATTTTTTGATTATTTTAAAAGGGAGAGAGGAGAGAGAGACTTGTTTTTAGCGGTGCCCAGTTAGGCGCGCAGTCATAACGGCGCAAAGCCTTAATTTGCTGGGATATTTTTGACCCTTATCATTTTTGGTACCAATCTCTTTAGTTCGATGAATAGAATCGTTTAATAATAAATTTGTTAAGATTCTGAAATCGTGAAGCAGGTTGTGGCTTTGCGCCGTTATTGCCGCGCGCCTAGCTGTACCCCGTTTTAGGGAGAAAAACGGGTTTCGAGTTGTTACTTTTCTGAGAAATTTTTTTGGGGGTTTTAGCTGTGATAGTTTTTTTCTTTGTTTTTCTTTCGTTTTTCTTCTCCTTTCACTGCAACTTTATAACAAAAAAAATAACTCGTCGAAAAACTGGTGCTTTAAAGAGAAATTAGAAGAGAATTTATATATTTATTTTAACCATCTAAGCAAAACTCTTGAAAGAAAGAAGAGATTTCTTTCCTTTACCAGCTACCTAATTTATTTAATATTTAGGTAAAATCAATCAGAAAAAAATAATTATAAAAAAAGTTTGAAGGACATTAAAAATTTGAAAAAAAAATATTTTTTGCTTCTTTACCCAAATTATTCCTTTAATTAATAGAAAATGTCAAAAACTACACGAGCTAATACCCTTAGATTTTTTCTTTTATTTATTTTTATAAATTTAATAATTGCAAGAATTGAACCAGAGCCTAACACTAAATGGAATAGATATTATGGTAAGGATAACTGGCACTATGTTGTTTCCCTCTCCTACCAACTCCTTCCCCCACCAAATTTTTTTTGTATGTACAAAATGCTCAATCATTTTTTCCTTGCATATTTCCTTCATAATGTCTTAATAAAGGAAGAGTAATTAATGGGTTAGTGGAAATCCACAAGGAAATTTTGTGCAATTATGCAAGAAAGAAATGATTGACCATTTTGTGCATTGAGGAAAAAATTGAGTGGGGGAGCCACCTCCTAGGTAGTTAAAAATTACCCTATTAACTCTATTACACAATATTATACTCCCTCGATCGTTCAGCTATCCTTTTATTTAATATTAAATTTCCACTGAGTTCAATTACTACCTCCTTTTATTTACAGGCAATCCAGGAATAAAATTAAGATTAACCAGAAAAGGTGCAGAATATGTTAAAAATATAGCTGTTAAGGTTAGATAATGTCAAATATTTTTTTAAATTTAGAATTCATTAAAGTTATTAAATGAACAATTGGCTACTTTACATGGATTTAGAGCCCAAGTCTGTCTAAATTTAATTTTTTGAAAAAAATATTTTTTAAAGCATCCATTCGAAGAAGCCGGAATTAGAGGGAATATATTTGTTAGTGATGTACAAACATTATCATATCGTCCACCAACTCAATCAAATTTACATTTTGTTCCCCCACACTTTTTCCTTTTTTCGTTTGAAAATGCTGCCATTACGTAAATTTTATTCTTAAAATTTAGTAAAAATTAAAATACGATTAAAAAATTAAAAAACGATTGATTCTTCTAAGAAAGAGCGCAAAAACAATAAAAACGCCAAACTTAAGATTGCGTTTTATTAGTTAATTATTACAACTTGAATTTAAATCTTTATTATTCTAAAACTTAATTTATCCTTAGTCTTTCCGGACGTTTCCACGGCGATGCAGGCCCTTTACTCCAAATTCCCGGTACTGTATTTGGCCAACTTCAAGGTTTAAATGTTGAGGTGTGTTTGTTTCCTTTTGCACAATCTTGATAATTAATGTCTTTATAAGTTTACAAACTTATTTCCCCAACTTTTTTGCAACTCTACAAACTTTATATGTAAACTTATTTACAAACTTTTCCTATAAATTACCATATATTTTCCAACTTTATAGCAACTTTCTTAACAAACATTTTACAAACTTCTTTTACAAACTTTTTTTCCAACTTTTTTCCACCTTGACAACCTTTTACAAACTTGATTTAATTAAAGTTTAATTTATCCAAACTTTTTTTTCAAGTTTAATTATTTAAAGTTTTACTTATTTTTCATAAACTTAAGTTTATAAACTTTAATTTCTTTTTAATTTTAGATGGCTACACAATTAAGAGCAATTGACGGATTAATTTCTGTCTCGGTTACTCATTGCAGAACAAATTTGCGTTTTTCTCAATTTACAATAAATCCTGAAGGGTTACTTGGCCCGATATTAAAAATATTTGAAGTTACAATTAATGATTTAATTAGACAACGAATTCCTGATCTTTTGTGTAGATCTTTGAGGGATATTGTTGAAAGGAATTCACCTCACTTATTTCAACGAATTACTTATATTCCTTTAGGGGAGCATTTTTCTACTTTTGGGAATGGAACTGATGGTGTTATTGAAAGGTAGGGGTAGATTAATTGATGGACCTTCTGTATTATTAATTGATGGACCTTCAAAGCCTTCTGTATTATGGACGCTCAATATAGTAAAATCTCTCTATAATAATCAAAACCCTTCTATATTATGAACGCTCAATGTAATAGACTCTCGCTATAATAGACTACCTAAAAAATATTTTAAAAAATTCCAAATCTAGATTTGTACAACGCCTTTCTAATGGCTTATTTATCGATGGCAGAATGGTTTCTGACCCTGTAATAACCAACGATTATTTTGAAACACAACAGAGAGGTCGCAAAATTTTTTAAAAAATTTTTAAATTAAAAAAATATTAGGTGAATTACGTTATCCAGAATCTTATCATTCTGCTCCCTTCTTTCCACAGCCAATCCCAATAGAAAATGATTCTCAAAGAATGTTTTATTTGTATGCTTCTGATTATACCTTAAATTCAATGTTGTATCAGGTGAACTCTACCTTAATGGACATTTTGTGTAATAACTCTTGAAAATCCTAATCTTCTGGGAAACTTTTTATATCATTAAATAGAGAATTGAATTAGCTATAAGATACCAGAAAATCAGAATTTTAGATAAATTTTAAAAAAAGTTGTGGCGGAAGAACTGACTCAAAGTTTGTTAAAACTTTGATAGTAACATTGGTTTTTTGGCCATAACTTTTCTTTTGTTGTACCTAAAATTCTGATTTTTTAATATGTTATAGCAAATTTAATTCTCTATCGAATGATATATAAATCACTTCAAAAGGTTTATAAATTCAAGAGTTATAAAACAAAAACTCAACTCACCTTCTACTTAATATATTTTTTTAAATTTATTTAAATTAGGCCTTTCAACTGGATAGATTAACCATTAGAGTTGAAGAACAAAGCTTGCCTGCATTATATCGAACTTTTGTTCGAACAACTTGTCCAGATATAGATCAAGCTGGAGGAGACTTTTTAAAGACTATTTGTGTTGGAAAACTTGTACCAGCTTTGGGAAAACAATTTCCAAATACAACAACGTAAATACTAGAAAACTGATAAAAAATACTTTAAATATTTTAACTTGATAGAAAATTTGTTATGGTACCTCATCAATTGCCTGAAATGCAATTTAAAAAGGGATTGGGAACGATGGACTTGAAGGGTTCGTAACTTTATATTGATGCTGCTAGGACTTGATCCATACAGTTGGGGTAAAAGATACCGCTAATCGAGAGCTTTCGAATAATATAAGCTTTATTCAGATTGGGTAAAGATTAAAAAAGTTATGGTGATCAAATTTGGTTGTCTCAGTTGACCTTCTGACTATCAAGCTTATCTGCCCCCTATCTCTGCCCCCTTATCCTTACCCTTATCTGCCCCGTAAAACTTCAAAAAAATTCTTTTCAGCACATATTCTAACATTTATTCGAGATCGCCAAACTCACAAGGATCGCCAAGTTTTGGTCTCTTCAGCTGATGGAACTGCCGATATTAAATTAAATGCAGAAAATGATAAATTTGGAGGGGATTTGAAGTTAAAAAAATTGCTAGTCCGTTTACATCGTTCAGCTATTCAAATTGAACCAGAAAGTATTTCACAATTAGCTCCTTTAGCAAAGATGTTTCTTGGCCCAGAATTGGCTAAAGCATTGAAACAAGGATTGCCTTTTCCGTTAAAAGTTGGGGAAAAAATTTTTTGCGGGCAATTTTCTGTTTTGCGGACAATTTCTGTTTTGCGGACATTTTTTTATTTTGCGGACAATAGCTGTAGAATTTGGAACATACAATCGCTGGGGCTTGTCTAGTCTAAGTAATTTTTGGAGGCATATTGAAGTCCGAAAAACTATTTTTATTATAATCCGCAAAAGTCCGCAAACGATATTTATCCGCAAAATTTAAAATCCGCAAATTTTATCAAAAAAATATTTCAAAAAATTTTTTTAAGGATTCTATGAAATTCATTAACCCAAAATTAACACTTCATGATGGCTATGTTCGTCTAGCCTCTGATTTTGAGTTAAATGAACAAACTTTGCGATTGAGAATGACAGAGGCTTTTGAGAGAATTAAAGCAGAATCCGCAAATAATATTGGGGGATAATTTAATTTAATTTATTTACATAATTTATTTTTTAAACAAAATTTAATTAATATTTCTATTGTAAAATACATAAATGAAGCTTAAAAATTCGTATTTAATAAGCTCATAAAACTACTAAAATGTCCAAAGTCAAGATGTCCAGGGTTCGAAATGTCCAAAGACCAAAATGCTCATGTTTTTATAAACTGTTATATTTATACTCTCTCTTCATTAGCAACTTCAATAATTTATTGATTTTTTTATTCTAAATGATCAACGCCTCGTTGATTTTTTTTCCAAATTTCATTCTGGATATCCAAAGGTATATTCTTATGCGTCACTATATAATAGTAATAAGAGGAGAGTGATATAAATAAATATTTAAGCCTTAAAACAAAAATAAATTCCTCCCTACTATATTAAAGTGATTGAATGAAAAAATTGGAAAAAAAAGAAAATAAATTAAAAAATAAATGTACATCAAAAAGATATTAGCAAGAAAAGAGAAGCAGAAACAAAACAACAAATGTTTATTTGAAAGATTGTAAACTTGAATAATAAAAGAAAGTTGTAAAGAAAAATAAAACTTGGAAATATAATTGTAAATTATTTCCAACCTTTTTCTCCAACTTTCTTTCTCCAACTTTTTTCCCAACTTTCTTTCCAACCTTTTTCTCCAACTTTTTTTCCAACTTTTTCCAACTTTCTTTCTTCAACCTTCTTCTCCAACTTTTTCTCCAACTTTTTTTTCCAACTTTTTTTCTCCTTCTCTCTAATAAATAAACTTGCTTTATCCTTCCAAGTTTTTCTTCATTCCCCCAAATTTTTATTTTCCAGCATTGATCGATTGATGATCCGTTCCCTGAAAGATCTTCTCTCTTGTCTTTATCTTCTCTCTCTTTGTTCTTATAATTATCCCTTCAATTTTAAAGTTTTCATTTTTATTTTTCCAGTCTTTCACAGCCTCCTACACTTTTTGCCGAAAGTTTTCTTTCTATTAAATATTTTTGCAAAACGGCTGTCTGAAAGGAAAATTATAAGCTGTTGTTATATTTAATTAGTTTTTAAAAACCATTTTTGTTTTTGTTTTGCTAAAATGCCACGATATCATTCAATACACGATGATGTTGAAGTTGCTACTAAATGGTGGAGTGACTATCCAACACAGTAACTGAAAATTAAATTTTTAATGAAAATTTGAGAAAATTTTAGAAAGTATACAGACATGGCTAGGGCACAAAAAACATTTAGCAATTTAATTGGGGATGTTTGGTCGAAACCGAAACGACTTGTAAGATCTGCCAGTTATACAAACTTGACGTATTACAAAGAGGCGCAGCATGATTATCCTATTAAAGTAAAATTATTAAAATAAATTTGAATGAGAAATTGTAAAAATAAAATTAAACTTAAGTTTAGAATTACAAAATAAACTTGAAAATACAATTGAGAAAAATAAACTTTCAAATTTAATTGTAAACTTGAAAAAATAAACTTGAGATTACAAAATAAACTTGAAATAATTAATGGAAATTGTAAAAATAAAATTAAATTCATAATTGTAATATAGAAAAACTTGAAATTTCAATTACAAAATAAACTTGAGAACTACAATTGTAGATTAAGCTTTAAAAATTTACAAGTGAGAGAAATAAACTTTAAAGTACACTAAAAATAAACTTTAAATTTACATTTGTAAATTATAATTTTAAAGTTTTATTCTTTTTCAGAAAAGTACTTCTGTTTCATCATTAGCACCATCACTAGCTTTACCCCAATATTATCGTCAAGCAGAGCGGATTGTTCATACCGAACGTGTTTACAAACCTTTTATGTATGACTGGTACAACAAAGCTTATTCTCAACATCGTTATATTGACACACAACGGGAGATAATGCGACCACTTAAAAGGGACCCAGCACCTCTTCGTTACAAGCCCCTAAAGTTTGAAGAATTTACCAACCGGAGTAGTTGGATTCCTTACTATTCTGGACAGACTAGAAGGATTTATAATGATGAGGCAAAAAATAATTAATTTTAGATAATATCCTCAAAATTAAAAAAAATTATTTTGTAGAGAGCAGCCCCTCTCCGTTCTTATCTACATGGATCACAACAATATTTGGACCGATATGTTTCAAATAGATTAAAATCGGACGATTTTGGACAGCGGTTTGCTTATTCCGCTTATGAATGGCGGAAGCCGCAAGACCATTCCTTCAACCGCAACTTTATGTATGGGGAAAGGTAATTGTAATTTTTTATTTTATTTTCAAGTTTATTTATTGTAAACTCAAATTTATTTACATTACTAACAAAAAATAAACTTGGAGAGTTAATTACAAATAGACTTAGATATTTAAGTTTATTTTTTAACATTTTTACAATTGTAATTTCCAAGTTTATTTTTATAAAAAGTTTATTTAAAAAAAAGTTTATTTTTAAATAAACTTGGAAATTACAATTGTAATTTATCATTTTTACAATTGTAGACAAGTTTATTTTTTTAACCTTTTTACAATTGTAATTTCCAAGTTTAATTTTTACAATTTGTAGAGTGTATGTGCCTCATGCCCGGTCAAACCCACACTCTTATACAAGTGCTTCTGCTTTGCGCAAACTATACAAAACAACTGGTCGTTTCCGTTTTGCCTAATAATGAAGGAAGGAAAGAAATTTAAATACTAAATAATGCGCGTAAATCGGAGAAAAATTGAAATTTTATTTTTTTAATTTTTAAATTTTTATAGTCCCCTCTCCTTTAAATTCAACAAATTGTCCTTAAATAAATATGCCAAATTTTATTTTTTATTAATTTTCCCATTCATTCTTTTAATAAAAAGAAGAAATTCTCATTAAAAATAAGGACCTAATATTATTACAAAAAAATTTTTTCATTTAGATCAAATTATCTTTAATCATATTATTTACTAGATTTTAAATTATAAATAAAATTTATTTTTGATACAAAAATATTAATAAATCTGTAATAAATACAAAATTATTTTTAAAAACATTTTCTCTAAAAAATTCTTTGAGAGAAAATTTTAAGTTTTACAACTTTTTGTACATATTTTTATTTGTATTGTCCATGTATTTGATTATGATTTTAGCCAACATGAAGTTTAGCTGCCAGACATGAATAAGATCTCTGATATTGGCATTATTTAATTTTACACCTTTGCACGATGCTCTACTGACTGAGGCTACTAATAGATGGATCATGAGAGTCCTCCTAGCAGGATAGTTTTAACCGCTCAACCATACCAACTACTGACTGGCAGTCTAAATTTTTTTCAACTAAAGATAACAAAACGTAAGATAACAAATGCTCATTAATATCCACACATTTTTATGTTAGATACGAAACTTGGATTTTTGACCCATTTGCTCTAACTGATCCACATTTATGCTAGAGAATAAAAAATAAAAGTAGCTATAATAGCAGCAGTTGGAGGAAAGAAGCAAATAAAGAAAGAAAAATTTCTTTTGCCACCCACTCAAAACTTTTTTTTATTATTCTTTTTAAACAAACAATTAAATTTTTATAAAATTAAAAAAATACTCGGTATTAAAATAAAAACTTAAAAATTAATTATTATTTAACTAAAAATATTTTTTGATTGTCCAGTAAATCCGTTAACTTTAATTAATTCATTTTGATTTTTTCTCGAAAATTTTTTAAAATTTTTTAGACTACAAAAACAATTTTTTCCTTAATTTTTAAAATTAATTTTGAAAAAAATTAATTTTAATATTATTATTCCTATTATTATTAAGTACAATAAGCACTTTAAATAAACACTATAAAATCAGGTGTTTTATATTTTTAAATTAGAGCCAGTTGCTGTCTATTAGTAATTGTGAGGTATTCCACCATTTCTTAATAGTTTAGTAATTGATTGAGATATTATGTACTATTATTAAACGAAAAATCTGACAGCCATTTAAAGTGTAAAATTATTTTAAAAATTATTTTTTTAATATTTTACAAAATTAGAGTAATAATTGTAAAATTGTAATTTCAAGTTTATTTTTATTAGCAAACTTAAGGTTTCAAGTTTATTTTTAACTTTTTACAATTGTAATTTCCAAGTTTATTTCCAAGTTTATTTTCAAGTTTATTTTTTAGCAATTTCAGGTTTATTTACAATTACTAACAAAAATAAACTTGGAAAGTACAATTACTAATAGACTTAAATATATTCAAGTTTATTTAATTTTTTACAATTGTAATTTCAAGTTTGAGGTTATTTAAAATTGTAAACACTTAGGTTTATTTGTATTTATACTTTCCAAGTTTATTTTTATTAAAAATTGTAAATTCCAAGTTTATTTATAATTTATTTAAGATTGTAAATATTTACAATCTTAAGAACAATGAGAATATTTTTAGATCCAAATTTATCATACTAATCCGAAAATTAAAAAAATATTTTAAATAATTAGTATTATTAAATCACTAAAATATTATAAATCAAAGTAATGCCCGTATTCTACAGGTTTTTTCGATATTAAATTTAAATATTAATTTAAAAAATAAATTTAAAGAGAGACGGTCATTGACCCAGAAAATTCACAAAAATCGCCTTATAAACAACAACAACAATCTTTTTACCAATCTAATGGACAACAACATCCATATCAACAAAGTAAAACTTCCTATACTTATCCCGGAAGTGATAGAAGTAGTGGAATTTATAAAGGAAATGGAAGCAGCAGTGCTAACACAACTACAACAGCTACAGACTTCCCCGCCAATTTTCCAAAAATTCCTCCTCCAAAGGGGGTTATAGATGATAAACAATTGGAAAGGATGGCTGAACAATTGATGAAGGGGCAACAACCAACATGGGATGGGCAACAATATTCTCCTCCCGGTTGGACTCGGCACAGTCAGCAAAGCTATACAATTGAAACTGTGGTAGAATTGAATAAATTTATAAAATTATTAGGTAGAGGAGAGTAAGCTAAAGTTTAGTTATTGGACAGGAATAGAACCTGAATACCCCAGGACCTTATAGCAGTCATTGTGAGAAGCTCCGATCACCCCCCCCCCCCCCCAATACACTCCTCCAAAATAATTTTAAATGCTTTTCACTTTAGGTTGAACACGAGCCTGAAACTAGACCTATATATGTTGGAAAACATTACGAGTCTGTACCTTCAAAGACAGGAATACCACCACAAACACATCTAAAACATCAATATTCTCCTTCCCAACACGTGCCTACAAAGACCACCAAACAGCCGCCACCTCCTCCTTCAAGTCAAAATTATAGGCAGCCTCAACCTCAAGAAAAGTATAATTATGAACCAACAGAACAGCAATACTATAGCAAAACAGTTCAACAAAAACAACAAATACCGCCAGTAGAACAACAAAAACAATTCCCTCCCCAACAACAACAACAAAAATATTTCCCTCAACAACAAGTCCCTCAACAACAATACCCTCAACAACAAAAGCCTTCTGGAACGATTAAAGAAACAACACAAGAGAAAAAGAGTACTAGTGTTGTTGATTCTACCAACTTTCCTTCACAACAATATACCAAAACATTAACAGAATATAAAACAAATGGTTATGATTCTTCGAAAAGAGAAGGTGGTGGAGGAGGAGGTTTGCAACAAACACAAAAACAGCACATGCAAGAGCCAAGACAAGAAGAATGGCAACAACAAAAAATAATAAACACAACACAACAACCACTCCAAAACAAACTGGAATCACAACAAAAGCAATGGGAATCAATACAATCACCCCATGAAAAATGGAAATGGAGTCAAACACAACAATGGAACTCACAACAACAACCACAACAAACTCAACAATGGGAACAACAAACGCTTCAGTGGCAACAAGCTCAGCAACCACAAGAACAATGGGGGCAATCACAACAACAATGGCAACAGACTCAGCAACAAACTAAGGAGAAAGAAGGACAGCAATCTCAACAATGGCAACAACAACAACAAACACAAAAATACACCACTCAACAGCAACAAAATTTGATAAAACAACAAACACAACAACAACAATCACAACAATATTCACCTCAAAAAACGCAAAATGAACCTAAGCAGCAAACAACTGAAACAACTGTACAGGCACAACAACCACAAAATCTGTCGGGAACATCAAAGGTTGAACAAAAGGAGAGAGAACAAAAGATTGAACAAGAAGTAGGCGATGAATATGATGGTCCACCTCCAGATCTTCAATTAGCACAAGCTGATCCGGACAAACTATATGAGAAGCAACATGAAGTATATCAAAATGGGTGGCAACAAGAAGAGGTAAATTAATAAATACAAAATGAAAACACAAAAAATACAAAAAAACACAAAATACACAAATTTAAAGGACTACAATCAACAACCTTACCGCAGTCATCACCTCAATCAACGCCAACTACAACAAACCCGAAACAACTATGACGAGCCCCTCTATATTTCTGCGGGGGGAGATGATGGGTACCAACAACAATACCATCAATATTACTCACCAAATTCACAGATTTATTGGGATAGTGTTTATAATGACGAATGGGCTTTAAGAGGGGCAAATCCTCCTTCTTTTACAACGGGACCAGTCTGGGGAGATCATTTGGCATATGCTCAACGTATGAATTTGGAGAAGCGGAGGACTGAAAGCGAGAAACAGAGGAGGCACCACACGTATTTGTTTTTCTAGAATAATTCGAAATGTCGTATTTTTTGCAGCCCTGTGCCAGGTTCTGCTGAGTATGGCTATTTATTCGGAGGAATGGACTTTGTTGATCACAATAATTTTGACCCATCTATAAATGTTGGCGAGCCTTTCAATGAAATGCAAGAACGCCATTCTCGTCGTGATTTGCATTGGGGTCCACCTCGTCGCAGAGGAGATTTCTTCGGATTGGATTACCGTACAATGCTTCCAGAAGAAGAGCAACACAGATCACATAGTGCTGAGGATTCTGCCTTCTATCAAGGATATCAAGCACTTCCTCCTAGAAAAAACTTTAGACTTGTAGGCCATTTTACTGCCGACCACAATGCTCCTTTAAATATGTGAGAGATTAATTTAACTTTTAAAAATGTCATAGGATTGACGTTGATCTGACTGAACTCCCCCACCCACAACCTCCAAGTTTCAACACAGAAAAGTTAACTCACGAAAAGAAGACTTAGGATCCAGAACAAAACCTGTTCTAACTTTCAGCCTTTGGTTGGTATGATGGACTTTTGGTTATGTCAGTAGGCCTTTAGATCCCTAAGCCAGATTCCTCTGAGTATCAGATTCCGCCCCCAACTCCTTCACCATCAATTTTCCATACACTGTCTCCTTTTCGACCCCAAAGGCCCGGGGCGCTGCCTTACAATTAAATTTTCTTTAAAAAGTATTATTTTTACAGAGCAGAAGCTCAAGGTCTAGATGAATTCGACTCTCAATATTGGGTTGGAGATACACTCAGCAACCAAAAAGTTCGTCCAGAATATCCATTAACTGAAGAAGAAAAGAGAACCTTTGCTTTATTGTATGGCCCTGGAGGGTTTAAACCAGATCATCGAACAGTTATACCTGAACCTAAGCCTGAAGAGCCAGTACAGTTTTCGGTGACTATAGGACCTAAGAAGGAGAAAAAAGAGCAGCAGCAACCAGAAGGATATGTTAATCCTATGAAGGTAATTTTGAATTAAAAATACATAGAAGCTCTCTAGCCTACTTTCCAATCCGAACGGGGCATGTTCTTTCCAGCCTACTTCCTAATCAGAATGGGGTATGTTCCCTTCAGCCTACTTCTAAATTATGGGAATGTTCTCTTGAGCCTATCTCTTAATAGAGGGTGAATTTAGGTGAGAGCGGAGAAGAATAAATAATTTAATTATTTAAAAAGGTGGAAGGTGAAAGCTGGATGTTAGGACAAAGAGGAGAATATGATGGCCAATATGGAAAAATTTTGCATTCAACAGCTGAACAACATTTGCCTTTTCACCGACCCAAACACTTTCCTGCACGTGTCCCGAATTGGGCTGTTGAACGACAGAATCAAATGGGGAGAGGGGCACGCTCGTTGGATCGCTCATTGTTTTTGCCTTCTTGGGCAAAGATTCCTCAGCCACAACCTCCATTTTGGGTTATTATTAAAAATTAGTTATTTTCCCTGTTCCACGGTTATGGTTCCTCGCTTTGGTTTAATTGTCGCTCCAAAAGTTGAGACTGTTCCACAGTTTCTGTTCCCCGATTTCGGAAAGCACGTCTTAAGATAAATTTACATTTATTTTAAAAATTATTTTTAAGGTAAAAAGGGATGGAAGTAAAGTAGCTGGGAATTGGCAAGTACCAAAACAACAACAGCAACAAGGTGAAATACAAGAACAACAATTTGTTCAACAACAAAAAAGTCAACAGCCACAACAAAAACAGCAACAACAATATGTTGTTAATCAACAAATAATTAATTCTCCCCAACAAAAAGAAGAAGAAAATCGTCTCCCTCAGCCTTCTCCAACCCAACAACCTTCACCTCAACAAAAACAAAAAACTCAACAAATCCAAAAATTGCCTTCCCCAACAGACCAAAAACAAACACAAAAAGACGAAACTGACAAAAATTTACAAAAATCAAAACAACAAATATTTACACAATCACAACAACAAAATTACCCTAATTATCAACAACAAACAAATGTTACTACAACTACATACACTCAAAATCAACAAATACAGGTATTCTATTACAATTCGTATTTTCCGAATAAAATACATTAAATACCTAATAATCTATTTCCCGGATGGATTTTGTATTTTCCGGAAACTTATTTTAGTTGTGTTTCTAAATGTATTTTTAACGAGAAAATACATTAAATACATTAATATAAAATACATTAATCTACTTCTCTGATATTCCGGAAACTGTATTTTTCGGAAACATTTTAGTTGTGTTTTACATGTATTTTCTGACGGAAAAATACATTAAATAAATATACTTCTCTGATATTCCGGAAATTGTATTTTCCGGAAACTTGTTTTGATGTCTTTATTTTTCGAAGAAAAAATACATTAAATAATCTAGTTCCGGAATTGTATTTTCCAGAAACTTAAATTTCTGTGTTTTTATAAAATCTATTATTGAGAAAAAAAATACAAGACCGGAAAATACCTTTTTGTATTTTCCATAATTGTACTAATTTTAATTATTTCTGATAATCGTATTTTTATAAAGCCACCTATCAATACCCAGCATACTCAACCAGAACAAAAACCCCTCCATCAAGGTTTTACTTCTGCCCCAACTGCTCAAAATCAACAACAATTTACCCAATTAATTATAACCCCTTCAAAAACACACCAAACAACATTCAAACCAGCCAAACAGCCTTTAACTTCTAGTCAAGAACAACAACAACAATTAAAACAGCAGCAACAATATTCCGATTTTTATGAAGGAGGAGGGCAAACGCAAAAAACAGGTCCACAGCAAGAACAGTTTAAACAATTTACCAGTCCGGGAGGGCAATTTTATGGGCAACAGAAGGCTGGGAATGAAGGGAAGGCTCCGCAACCGCAATATATAGCTAATCAAACAAATCAACCTAGTGGTCAATATTATGGACGTATGCCTCAACAACAACAGCAATATCAGTATAGAATGCAGCAACAACATCCCCAACTTCACAAAGGTGGAGGATATACAAAAACCCCTCAAAATTACCCTCAAGGGCAGATAGTGGAAGAAGAGGAAGAAAAAAGTGGACTCGAAAATTTGGCAAAAATGAAATTGGGAAAATTCCCAATGAGAGAATCTTTGAAAGCTCAACAAAGTTTGGAAAGTAATAATGAACAAGTTGATTCTTCTAATATTAAAAGACAACAATTTATAAGATCTGGACAGCCTGGGCAAGTGATAAGGGAGGAATGGCGATTTAGTTCTGGACAGCCACAGAAAGGGTAAGAAAAAGAAAGAGCTCCTTTCCAACAACTCCTTCCCCACTTCTCTAAATTATAATAAGAGAGGTGTATCTAGTATTGGATTAATTTAAAATGAGGTCTGACGTATTAAAGAGCTCAATAAAAATTCAAAAAAAAAATTAAGAAAAAAATTATTTTATTAAAAAAGGACTACTGGCGGCCATCAACTACTTCAATCCTCTACCACAACAACTACCACAACTAGTTCAATAAGTGGCGATATCCAATAAAAAGAATAAATAAATAATATATTTTGAGAGAATTTTAGGCGAAATTAATAAAAAAATTTAATTTTAAGAGTGAAAACAAATATTTTTTAAATAAATATTTTGACAATTTTTTGAGTAAAAAATAAAAAAATTAATTCTCGATTACTTTTTCCTCACCCCTCCACCAATTTTCTATCCGTTGACCCCGTTCGTCTACTGCGTGAACGTCCATTACACAAGTAAAAGTAATCCCGCAAAGAGGACTGTGTGGAATGCATTTTTTACGGGGGGTATTGTATATGGGTGTAGGTAATCCTGTCAATATAAAATACATTAAAATTCTTATTTTCCGGAAAACACATTTTATAGATAAATAATTCTGATTTCTATGGAAAATACATTTGTTAAAATAATTCTGATTTATGAAAAATGTATTTTTCGAAGTGTACTTTCTCAAATAATTCTGATTTTTCCGGAAAACACATATGTAAATAAACTGATATTCTGATTTTTGTGGAAAATACACTTCCTAAACAATAATTCTGATTTATGAAAAATGTATTTTTCTAAGGTGTATTTTCTACAATAATTCTGATTTTTCCGGAAAACAAAATAATTGAGATTTTATGAATAATTCTGATTATTATAAAACACAAAATAAAAAAGATTCTGGTTTGCTTATCTGTATTTTCCAAAATGTATTTTTAATAATTCTGGTTTTTCCGGAAAACACTTTTTTAAGATAGTGAAAATACATATGTATTTTCCCTTATATGTGTTTGTTACTGATTTTTCTGATGTATTTTTAGTTAGTATTTTATTACCATATGCACAAGCAAATCCAGGCGTGTTTTGTGCAAATGTAAAGTCTTGATTTACAACAGTGTTTGAAGGGGTGTAAAAAAATCGAAGTTTTTGTTGTTGTAAATTCTTGACATTATTTTGCGTTTGTTGTTCTTGTTCAATTCCAGTCTTATCGTCAATAGTAGGTAATTTTGGTATTTCAATTTTTTCGGCATTTAAAGGTTTTATTTTTAAATTTGGTGGGGATTGGCTTTAAAATATGTGAAAATTTATTTTTAGAATTTTTTTTCCAATTTTTAAAAATTGGAAATAATTTTGAAATTCAAAAAAAAAATTTTAGAAATTAAAAAAAATTTTTTTTTCCTCACCTAAAAACTTTTTTATTAGAATAGTGTCTCTGTTGTTGTTGTCTTTTTCTATTTTTTCCCAACGAGGAATCATTAATCAAACCACTTTTAAAATTATTTTTAATTGCCTGTTTAATAGGGAGTGCTCTAGCTTTAGGAACAAAAATTTGTAAGGGCCTAATTTTCCCAAATTGGCAAGTATTTATATTTTTTCGTTGTCTCAACATTTTAATGACTTCCTCTCTATAATTTAATTTTGAAATTTTTGGCAAATAAAAATCCTCTTTTAGCAGCTTTCTAGGTGATATTCTTTGATGCATTTGTTGTTTAGTTAAGGTGAAGAAAAATGTGAAAATAATTAAAGTGGAAAAATGTGGGAGAAAAAGCTGCATGTTTTCCTCTCTTTTTAAGGTAGTGACCGGAAAACACAGAAATTCTGTATTTTTGTATTTTTTATTTTTGTATTTTTTCTTCTGATTAAATTAGTGACCGGAAACGAACGGAAGATTGAATATGGAGGATAAATTCATTTTTTAAAATTTTTAAAAAACCTGAAAAAAAATTTATAAAAATATTAATAGTAAGTATTTTTATATTTTCACCAAAAAATATTAAGATACACCCAATTTATTTATTTTAAAATACCCCCAAGTTAAGGTACCCCCAAGTTAAGGTTAGTTTGAACAGCTGCCTAAGTAAGAATACCCTTCTGTTTAATGAACACTCATTATAGGATACCCCTCTAGTTAAAAAACACTCATTATAAGATACCCCCTCTATTTAATGACACCCATTTATAAAATACACCTCTATTTAAGGAACACTCATTATAAGATCCCCCTCTATTTAATAAACACTCATTATAGGATAACTCTCTATTTAATGAACACTCGTTTATAGGATCCCTAATATTTTTTCAGCCTCGAGGGTATCTTATAATAATGTTTGACTGTATTTTTGAATTTAATTAAGCAACTTATTGATGTTTTTAAGTAATTAATAAATAATTAAGAAAAAATTGGGTAAAATTAGCCGAAAAAAAGAGAAAATATGTGGGTAATTAATAAAAAAAATAAAATATCCATTCACCAATTATTTAAATCCAATTGGAAGCTAATCAACGTAACCGGTAGTTGAATAATAAAAAAAATATTGGAGGGGGGGGGGGGTTGTTAATTACGCGCAGACAAATATTTTTTTATTTTCTCTTTTACATATTTTTCGGAATTTTTCTTTTATTTTTCTTTCAGAATGTTTGTTGAGATTCAATAAATTAAATTCTCCTAAAAATAATTTTTATTAAATATTTAAAAGATTTTTAATTATAATCCCGAATTATTACCGTATTTATTCCAATAGAATGGCCGTCATTCTATTTTTCATTACCCCCAAAAAGAGGCCATTCAATTGGAGAGGCCATTCTATTAGAATAAATAATAATATACTGTTTGACCTTTTTGAACAGTTTCTCCCTGTATGGCGTTTTGTCATTTTTCGTTTTTGACGTTGTTAAAATTTCCCCCTATGTGACGTTGTTGAAATTTTCCATTGTGTGACATTTTGAGTTTTTTCTATTGTTTGGCGTTTTATAATTTGTAAACGAATTGAAAGCAATTAAAAAAATTCATTGAATTAAAATTTTAAATTCAAATTTATACATATTTCAAAATTTATTAAATAATTGGCATTCTGTTTTTTTGTATTTTTCTTTGCCTACCTCTTCCTTTCCTACACTCTCTCGTTCATTTGCAGTTTTTTGGGAGGCTTTAAGCTATCATTCAAAAAATTTTTAAATTTATTTAAATTTATTTTCTGCAATTTGTTTATGTTTTCAGTTTGTTTATTGTAAGTTTTTAAAGGTTTCCCCTCTTTATTTTAAAATTTTTAGACGGCTTTTTGGAGAACAAATTCCTTCATTTTCTCGTTCCCTTTGCACCAAACTTTTTCCAAAGCCTATTTACACACATCGGTCGGGGAGACAAGTGGGGAATTTTTTCAGATATTTTTTGTTTAATTAGGAGTTTACTTAAAATTTTGTTTTTGATTTTCTTTTGAAAATTTTCTGGTTAAATTGTCCTCCCTCTTTTTTCCTCCCCGCTTTTTCCTATTAATGTACAGAATGGTCAGACTTTACTTCCAAGACAATAAAATTACTTCTTTGTGATTTTTTTTGAGGAAAAAGGGGACCCATATACGACCATTTTACCAAATTTCTTTAAGAAAATTTCCTCAGTTTGTCTCCTTTAGCTGACCTTTTCTTTTTAAAAATAATTTTTGTAAACTCCTAATTTTGTATTTATTTTATTAATTTTTAATTTAAGGTAAAAGCTAGAATGAAAAAATTAGAAGAAAAAATGGCAGAATTGGGGGACAACTTCAAATCTAAACACGAACTTAAAACACCCAAAGGAACTCAAGATTTTGGACCAGAACAAATGGCTGTGAGAGAAAAGGTTATTGGAATAATTACTGAGACTTTTAAACGTCACGGGGCTGTAACGATCGATACTCCAGTTTTTGAATTGAGAAAAGTGTTGATGGGAAAATATGGAGAAGAAGGGTCTAAATTGGTGTATAATTTGGATGATCAAGATGGGGAGCTGTGTTCGATGCGTTATGATTTGACGGTTATTTTTTATTAATTTATTTGGGCCTGGTCTTCCTGAACTCCCCTGGCTTGGATTTTTTTGGATCTGGATTTTGTCTGACCTCCAAATTCAGTTCAATAAGCCAAGCCACAGCTTTCCTCGAAAATAATATATTGGCGCTAAAATTCTGGCAAATGTCTGATATTAAAATACCCCAAGGTTCAGGTCAATAAACCAAGTCTTGGGTCCAGCCCAGATGTTTAAAAATTTTGATTCCTTAATAATTCTTATTTCCAAGGGATAAAAACCAAATCGTTTTATTCTCTTTCCATTAAGATTTTTCCATTTTAGGTTCCTTTTGCTCGTTATTTGGCTGCCAACAAAATTGAAAAAATCAAACGCTTTCAAATTGCGAAGGTGTACAGAAGGGATCAACCTGTTATGACTAAAGGTTTTTAATTAAGCTAATTTTTAGATTAAATTTTTTTTAATTTTTAAAGGAAGATTTCGTGAATTCTATCAATGCGTTAGTTGAAGTTTTTGGATAAGAATTTTTAAATAAAATTTTTTTAAAGGATTTTGATATTGCCGGACCTGGAGAATTAATGATGCAAGAAGCTGAGTGTTTAAAAATTGCTGATGAAGTGATTTCTAAATTGGAGCTTGGAGAATTTGAAATTAGGGTTATTAATTTTTTTATTTATTTTTTCATTAATTTCCAAATCAATGACAATTTTCCCGCTATCTCCACCAAATTTTTTTGCTATCAAAATCGCGATATTTCTATAGCGGTTTATAGCGTTGTAGGGCGTCTTTTGGAATAAGTCTGATTTTTCTAATAGCTTTTAAGTTTCCTGCGATATGCAGATTTTCGGATAAAAAAAGTTTTCGAATTCGACCTCAACCGTTAAAGGTTGAAAAAGTACGCGATTTTTTTAGTAAAAGTCTAGTTTTTTTCGAATACATGGTTCTCTTGTCCCCAGATATGTCAAACTTTTGGTTGTGCATCTCAGGCCCGTAACCAGGGGGGGGTGAGGGGGGGAATTCCCCCCCCCCCCCGAAATGGGAAAAAGGAAAAAATTTGGGGAAGGGCTGGGGCAAAAAAGTGAATTTTTTTGGCCTACGGCCTTCGAAATTTTCAAAATTTTCGCCTGCGGCGCTAAAAAAGGACGAAATCTGGCTTCTTGAGGTCCAAAATTCAAAAAATTTTCGCCTGCGGCGCTGAAAATCAAATTTTTGGCGCCTGCGGCGCCGAAAAAGTGAATTTTTTTGGCCTACGGCCTTCTAAAATTCTCAAAATTTTCGCCTGCGGCGCTGAAAATAAAAATTTTTGGCGCCTTCGGCGCCAAAAATTTGGCGCAATAAAATTTCCCCCCCTCGAAAAAAAATCCTAGTTACGGGCCTGGTGCATCTTGAACTTAAAAAATTTTTTCAGATAAACCACAGGCTTTTATTAGAAGCAATATTCGAAGCTAGTTCAATTCCCTCAAATTTATTCAAAACAGTTTCTTCGTCAATTGATAAACTTGATAAAATTGCTTGGGCTGATGTCAGAGAAGAATTAATTAATGAAAAAGGATTGAGTGAACTAATGGCCGATTCTATTGGAAAATTTGTTTGTATTGGAGGTTTTTTTGAATTTATAAATTTATTTAAAAAAAATTTTTAGAGGAGCACCCAGATTGGGACAATTCATCCCTTTTTGACTGGTTTTGTAGCGATAATTTGTCAACTTCCGAAGAAGTCCAAAAATCAATTATTAAAGCAATTGATGAGCTTAAATTGTTATTTAATTATGCAATATTGTTTGGATGTAAAGACTCTAGAATAGTTTTTAGCCCTTCTTTGGCACGTGGATTGGATTATTATACGGGCATAATTTATGAAGTTGTGATGAAGGGTATTTTTTTGGATTTTAAATTGAGTGTTTCTGGGAATGAGCTAACAAGGAAACCTACTGAACTTTTACCAAACTTTTTTGAATAAAATTGTACCTTGTGTTAAGCATATTCTCTATTGACAATGTTGGCTTTATTTCTTGACTCCGAAAGCGAAAAGTTATATGTAGGTGATCTTCATTTTCAGAATTCCAGTAAAGATTTTTGATCATTTTTCCCCAACATTTTCCATTAGCTCTATTTTCTCTCTATATTTTTTCAATTTCTACGTCCTTGCCTGGACCTTTTCCCTATATCTCCCTGACCTGCATCCTTGGCTATACATAAAAATATTTTTCATAGCTCACCACTCTATTTCTTTATTTATTTCCCAAAAATTTTGAAATTTTTTTTTAGATTTATCTTTCAATAATACGCAACAAAAAAATAATGATGAATCAACAACCAATAATTTATCAAAAAATGTTGATGACAACAAAAAACAAAAAAAGAAGAATAAAAATTCTTCCAAAAAAGACGAAGAACAAGAAAAAGAAGAAAGTAGTGGAAATATAGGTTCAGTAGCTGCTGGTGGACGTTATGACAAACTTGTTGGAATGTTTTTAAATTTGGGAGAAAAAAGTGGAAAGAAAATTAGAGATGTCCCCTGTGTTGGAATTTCTTTTGGAATTGAGAGGCTTTTTGCTATAATGGAGATGAAAATGAAAAATGAAAAGGTTTGGATTAAAAAAATATTTTTTTGTAAAAATAGTTTTCCTTCTGTTTTTGTCACTTCATTTTTGAGGGTTTACTTTATATTAGGGGATTTACCATGGGTGTGCCTAAACAGATTTTTAAAAGTTTAAAGTCAATTTAAGAAACTTGAAAGGCGAAAGTTCAAGAAAGGCGAAAAATGAAATGGCGGAATTCACACCCCTGCCACTTACCTATGTCAATTTTATTTTTTTGTATTTAAACATTTTCGTCCTGAACCTAGCATTTTTTTTGATTCGGGTAGTCAGCGACTTTTTTTTGGTTAGGTCCCCTACTTTTTAAGGCCCCATACTTTCTATCTTGAAGTAACTTTTTTTTCCTGAAAGACAATGTGTTCCCTTGCTAATAAATATTTCTTTTTCAGGCTTGTGCAGTACGTACTTCACCTACCCAAGTATATGTTGCTTCAGTTAAATCTGGTGGAAATAATCAAAAAGATGGGGAGAAAATTAATAAACCAAATATTCTTTTTGAAAGAATGAAAATTTGTGCAAAACTTTGGGCTGCTGGAATAAGGGCTGAAACTAGTTGATTTTTAGTTTTTAATTTAAAAAAAAATTTTTTATTTTTAAAAAGGTTATAAAGGCAATCCAAAATTACTCGAACAAATCCAATTTTGTGAAAATGAAAGTTCACAAATTCCATGGCTTTTAATTGTTGGTGAAGATGAATTGGCATCAAATAGTGTTAAATTACGTTGTGTGGCTACAAGGGAAGAAACGGTTTGTGAATAAATTTTAAAAAAAATTTTCTAAAAAAAATGGGTAAATCAATTTACTAGAAAAATTAAAAAGGTGAAAAAGAGTTTTTATAAAATTTGGGGAGAAAACAAATAAATTCAGGATTAAATAAAAAATTTTTTTTTGATGGAAGGAAGAGATTTTTAATTTTTTGGGGCGTCTAAAAAATAACAATCAATCAAAAGAAAAAAATTTTTTCGTTTATAGCTTATTAGTCTCGATAATCTTGTTTATGTTTTGAATGAAAAATTGTCTATGCAGCAGAAATGAAGTAAAAAAATTAAAGCGCTTTTATGAAAATTTTTTTGTTTTTTGTTTTTGTTGTTGATGAGAACCTTTTTTCCTCCCACATTTTTGGAGATCTGCTTTATTTTATACCCAATATACTATTGAATATTGAGAGGTTAAATATTCTATTTGAATTATTTTTTTTATTAAATTATATATTGTTTTAATTATACACGCTATAAGGCTCCTTCCACAATGGATCCATGTTGACTGTCAAGCAGAGGTGGATCGGAATTCCGAGTTCCGACTTTTTGAGCCAGCTCCGATTTCCGGCTTTTCCGATTTCCGACCCACTTCTGCTGTCAAGTGTTATGGTCCATGGATTTTTATTTTCCATTGTGGGAAGGACACGTAACTCTAAAAATATACTCGACATGGATGTCATTGTTGGAGAGAGCCGTGTTTATGAGACTCGTTTAATTTTGTGTTATAATTTTTTACAATTTTTTTGGTTTAAAATGAAAAAAAAGCAACGAATTTTTTAGCTAAATGTTCTCAAATCTTTTAATTATTTTCTAAAATTTATCAGAAATTTTTTTTTAGAATTTTTTAAAAGTCATTATAGCAACAAAAAGAAAATGTTTATTTATATGCCTTGTATATTTTGGCATGATCGTAAAGGAATATTATTTATTGATGTTTTACAAAATTCAACAGCTTCAGGAGAAGATTTAGTTCCAATATATAAAATTGTCACAGCCAGCATTCAAAAAGAAATTCGTGTTTGGAATTTCCGTTTTGATCCAATTGAAATTTCTGTCCCGAAAAAACAACAAATTGAAGAGTCAAAAGAAGAAGAAGAAAATAAACAACCACAAAATGAAGATAGTATTGTTTTTGTGGATTCTAAAGGAGAAAAGGAAGAGGAAAAAGAAAATGCCGTGAAAGATAAGGAGGATGCTAATAAAATTTTGGTGAATGAGGAGAAGATGCAGCAACAAAATCAGCACGGTTTTTGAAAATTTTTGGGGTTTTTAATTGGGTGTTGCTAGGTTATGTAGAGGGATTGGAGTATTTTGAAAAAGTTGAAAATAAAATTTTCTGCTAATTATTTTTTTATTATTTAAATAGCTTCCAACAAATCTCTGTCATTGTCAGTTGAATTTTTGGCCAACTTGGAAGGACACAGGTCTACAACAAATGTTGTCAAATTTTCTCCTAACGGTATTTTGTTTTCTTTAATTATTAATCTCAACCAGAGACCGGACTACGAGATCTCGAACAGAAATCTCGGTTGTCGAAAATGACATTTGTTTATATTTTGGTTCCTAATCAGCCCTTCCTGTCCGTTCTCCTGTCTTCAATCATTTTTTCAGGTAATTTTATTGCCTCTGGTGATGCTGATGGATATCTTATTGTTTGGAATTTAGTTCAATCTTGTCTGGAAGAAAATGAAAAGAATGAAATTTCTAATGAAAAACAATTAAAAGAGCTTCAATTAAATAATAATTTGGAAGAAAATAAAAATACTGAAGAAATACCTCCAAATAGAGAAAATTGGCAAAGAAGTAAAGCTAGATTTAGTCCACATCCTGGGGAAATTACTGCTTTATGTTTTTCGCCAGATTCACAATTTATTGCTTCTGTATCTATGAATAATTCAATTTCTGTTAATCGAACTGAAAATGGTTTGGAAGATTTTTTTAATTTTATGGGGAAAATACTTAAGGGGAGAAAGATTTATTTGAGCTTGGATTCAGTACCTTGGTACAAGGGGTGTATTGGATTCCCCGAAACCCGGGCTTTTGACCTGACTTTTTTTCATAACCCGACGTATTCCTGTTTGGCATGGGCGTATCCAGGGGGTCGGTTTTGGGGGAGGGGGCTAACCTTGGGTGTGCGCCAAAATTTTGGAGTTCTGAACGCAAATTTTCCCCCTGGATACGCCCTTGCTGCTTGGTACCTTATTGTTAGCTTGGCTTCATGAGGCGCTGAAGCTTGCTTTTAATAAATATAACACTTAAACAACTTCCCCTCCACATTTAAGGACCAAAAATCTTTGTGGACACCAAAAGAAGTCAAAAGAAAATTTTTTCAATTAGGTAGATTTAAAAATATTTTTAACAGGTAAAAGACTATGGGAAAGAGGTGCTTACCGCCATTTTGCTAATGGAATAATTTGGGATCCACGAGGAAAATATTTGGTAACAATGTCAACAGACAGGCGTTTAGATATATTGGATGCGTTTAAGGGAACAATTTTACGTTCTTGTTGTCAAATTGAATTGCCAATGATTTTAATGCCTGAAATTAGTCAACAAGTTTTTTTATAAATTTTTAGAAAATTTTTTGTTAAAATTTTCAAGGCTTACAAAATATTTCATGACGATCAATTACATGCTTTCCAAAGAGGTGTTGAATTTTCCCCTTGTGGTGGTGTTCTTTTTGCACCAGGTTTTTAACATTTTTTATTTTTTTTACATAACAACGGGTCAAGGTTGGGTCGGATTACTCGAAGCCCTGACTTTTTTCGATTTGGAAGCTGATATAAAATATTTTGAAAATCCTGACCCAACATTTTTCTTAAACCGTGGCATCCCTGAAACGGACCATTCTTCCTCATAAAAGGATCTTTAAAATTTGGTATCAGAAACCGACTTTGACAAAATTGGACTTTCCTACCATTTTATTAATGCGAGGACCTATTAAAAATTTGGGGACCTATTTAAAAAATTAATTTTTGAAATTAAAAAAAAATATTTTTCTAACTTTTTTTAGCTGCCCTACTAGAAGTTGGAACAAATAATATTTATGGAACTTTTGTCTTTTTTCGAAATGATCTCAAATTTTGTCGGCCAAATGCTCTTTTTCCTTCTGCCAAACCAACTATACAAGTTAAATGTTCTCCTTTAATTTACAAACTTGATGAAGGAACGAAGGAGAATTTTCTCGGGTATTTTTTTAAAGATAATAGATGAACCTCTTATAAGATACACCCAATACTAGATACCAAGGACGTGTCCAGGAAGTCCATTTCATGACCCCCCACCCCACTCTGGACACGATCTTGCTAGATACGTGTCCAGGGAGTCCATGTATTCCAGGGAGTCCATGAGCTGGTTTACTGGGTTTTTTTCACCTCTATTTAGGTTTCGTTTTTTCAAATTTAGTTGACCACCGAACGAGGCCGAAAACCCTCTATTTAAGATATACCTTGTTATAAGCTACATTTTTCCATCCCCAGTAGGTATATCTCCAGGTCCGGCTATTATACAATTTTTCAAGTTTTTCTTTCTTTTAAGTCTTCCACATCGTTTAATTTTTGCTGTTTTATGTTGGGATTCAATTTTATTATATAATTCACAAAATGAAACTCCATTCGCTTATTTTGCAAATTTACACTATGATGGATTAACAAGTATTGCTTGGACACCTGATGGACGATTTTTGGTTGTTTCTTCATTAGAAGGATTTAATTCTTTTATTTGTATGGATACAAAAAAGATGGGTATTCCTATTGAATTAAAGGAGGTTCTACAAGTTGAAAAAGTGCAACAAGGTTTTTTAAAATTTTGAATAATTTTTTTGTGTCCCATAAAAAAGGTTTTGGGTTTTCAAAGGGTGTTTAGGTTCCTCAACTTTTTTTTGGTTTTGAGATTTATGACTAGTTGTTTTTGGAACCATCCGTTGGCTTACATTTTTATTTTGAGCTGGCTTGACGGGTTTTTTAATTTTTATGTAAAAATGATTACGGCTAGCCAAAATGCATATTAGCAAACTTTTAGCGGATGGTTTTAACAATTGGTTATGGATATTAAGATACAAATAATTTTTGTATTTTTATATAATTTTTGTTAGTAAGTCAATACTTTCCTGTCTTGCTTGACCCGGTTGTACTCCACCACTCGGGGGTGTGCCCCCTTTTTAAAAATATTTTTCTGTTTTCAGATGATGACAAAGCCAACCAATTACCTTCTGATAACCTCCCTTCAACAACAAACACACCAAAACAAACACCAATTGATGTTTTATCTCTTCCAGATTCACCCAAATTGATAACTCCAAAGCGACCACGTGTAAAAAGGACGTTATTAAACAATACACCACAAACACCTAAAAGGGCAAAACCTGAAGAAAATTGTTCTAGTTCTACTGTTGGAGAATCACCCAAAGTTGGTGTTGTTGAGAAGAAGAAACCAAGGAAAGTAACGGTTATTTCAACTGATTAATAATTCAGAAAAAGGTTATTTTTTGCCTATTTTTTTTTAAATTACAGTCAAACCTCGTTTTTAAATACTCCCAAAAGAATTTTTTAAACCCCAATTTAAATACTCTTGCTAAAATTCTGGTTGGCCATTGGGTGGGGAAATTACTTTAAAATTTACCTCCAAATTAAAGTACCCGTCATTATAAGATAAGAAATTTTTTCAGCCCTGAGGGAGTATTTAAAAGTGATTTTTGACTGTTATTAATTTGACAAAATTTTTGCAAACAATCGTTTCTTTTTGTATGAAATAATTTTTTTATTTATTATTTATTTAATAAATTATGGCAATCTAAAAAAGAAACCGGTAATTAAAAATTAAGAGAAGGAATGTTTGGTTAATAATCACATTTTTCTTTTTATTCGTTTGGAAATTTTTTTTTACGAATTTGAATGAATTTTATCTGGAAGCGGACCCAATTTTGCCAAGTTTTGCAAGGCTTTGTCTAGCCACTAAAATTAGAAAAAATTAAAAAAAATTTAAAAATTTTTTTACAATAAGAGGAGCATGTAAATGAATTTCTATCCAACACGGGGTTGATGTAATACTGTTAAAAATAAAATGAATTAACAATTCTGATTTTTGTATTTTCTATTTTTTGTGTTTTCCGAAGTTCTGATATTTTTATATTTTCTTTAAAAAATATAAAATTCTGATTTTTTGTGTTTTCTGGAATAATAATTTGACTGTATTTTTACAAGGTAATTTTAAAAAACCAGAATTTTTTCATATTTGTGAGAGAATGAAAATTCTGACTCGTATTTAGAAAAATAATTCTGATTATCTTTTGTATTTTTTCAAAAATTCTGAATCAGAATTTTAAAGAAAACACAAAAACAGAATTTTAAAGAAAATACAAAAATCAGAATTTTGGAGAAAACACAAAAATCAGAATTTTAAAGAAAACACAAAAATCAGAATTTTAGAGAAAACACAAAAATCAGAATTTTAGAGAAAACACAAAAATCAGAATTTTAGAGAAAACACAAAAATCAGAATTTTAGAGAAAACACAAAAATCAGAATTTTAAAGAAAATACAAAAATCAGAATTTTAAAGAAAACACAAAAATCAGAATTATGTCTTAAAGAATTCTGATTTCTGTGTATTTTCTCTAAAATTCTGATTTTTGTATTTTCTTTAAAATAATTCTGAAATTAAATATTAAATTGCTCACTCTTGTCGTTGATAATCTTTTCCCCATCCCTTAACAAAAGACATTCGAATAATAGTCATTTTAGTAAGTTCATAGCTACTATCAAATCCCATTTGTGCACAATGATTTAGTAACTAAAATTAAATAAATTTTTTTAATTTAAATTAATTAAAATCTAAACCTCTCCAAATTTAGCTGTATCAAATATTTTAAGAGAATATCCATGACAGAGTTTACCTAAAAATTAAATTTTAATTAAAAAATAGATTTTTTAATGTAAAATATAGACTTACAAACAGTGGTAGGGTGAAAATTGTTTATCCTTAAAAAAATTTTTTCGAGTTAAAAAATATTAAATAAAAATTTATTTTCGAAATTTTAGAAAAACACATTCTCTTTTAAGCCAGCGCTTTTTTAAAGCTCTAAGGAATGCAAATTCTGTCCACATTTTATGGGGATATCTCCATTTGTATCAAAATTATGTATTATTTTCTTCCCTACTAACCTCTTTTCGGATATAATTTGTCGACTTTATGAGGGAATAAAAATTAATTTTTTTTTGCCCTTTAAAAATTCCTCCTCCCTTAAATTTTTTTTAAATTTTTCCTTAAAAATCTCCCCCCTCCCTCTCTCTATTACTATAAAATTATTTTTAATTTACAAAACCTAACCAATTACTATTCCTCGATTGAATAAAAATAGGACTATCACTTAAACATTCAGCATAAAGTGTTCCTTAAATTTAATTAATTAAAAAAAAAAAATTTTTTTTTCAAGAAAGGAAAACCTTGATAGGGCACATAAGTTAATTTAACTCCTTTAGCTATTAATCTTCGAGTATTTTCAATTGTTAAATTTCTATTTACATTGGAGAACAATCCCAACGATATTTTGTGTTGTCCATTAGATTCGCCCATGGTAGGGTCTGTGAAGCCGTCAACAATACATTCTAGAGCACTTATTTTTACCTTTAAAATAACTTATTTAAATTTTTATAAATGTTTTGATTAATGAAAAATTTTGAAATTTTTTATTTAAAAAATTCCAAAGATTTTTCAAAAAAAAATTTCAAAACATAAAAATTTTTAGTCAATAACAAATATTTTATTCATTAAAAATCCTTAAAATTATTTTAAATTTAAAAAAAAATAAAAATTAATTTATTTTGGCGGAGTCGAACTCTATTCAAGAAAATTAATTTCTAATTCCCTGATGAAATTTATGTATAAGGCGTAATTAGATGTTTGAACACAAATCTGAGGAGGATGTCCGATACCCACACCGGAATTTTTTATTTTGCCAAAAAATGATATTTTTTAGAGTTTTGAAATTAAGAAAATTTTTGACCCTTTTAATTTAAAAATAATTCAAAAAACTAAACCTGTTCTCCAACTCTCCCATTCAATTCATAATAACTAATTGTGCACCAATCCTGACACGGAACAAAAGGAATTGTTGCCACTTCTTTAAAATTGTTGTTTGGATTGTTTAAAGGCGGTGGATCACTAAAACGGGGAACCAAAACTGGCGGGAGCATATTTGAAGTAGAAATTCTTTCATAATGGTAGGGATTTATACAAATATCTTTTTGGCCTGATTCAAAACAATAACGGCAACATTGCAAGGCTTTTAGCTTAAAAATAAAAGATAAATTGATGGAAAGACGAAACAAGCGGACCATAGCTATAGGAAAGTACTAAAGCGTTGTTAGAGGGGAAATAAAAATGATAGGCACTAGGTTTGGTCCCCCACCCATATTCTCCGAAAGTGTCCTTCCTGCCAGGTAAGGACCAACACCAGCCAAACCATAGCTAGAGTAAGTACTAAAACATTTTTAGAAGGAAATTAAAAAATGAAAAGGACTAGGGCTGGTCCCCTATACCTATTCTCTGAAAATGTCCTTCCGGCTGGGTCAAGGAATCCTATTTTTGTTTTCCCAGGAACAACGAAGAGTTATTCGTTTCCTATCTCTATTTAACAATTTATAAGTGACATTGAGGAGGTCTGACCATTATGAGTCCTTTGAAGAAAAAAGTGGGGAGAAACTTGGAATTAATAGATTAATTTACTTGCGGACAAATTTATTTGCGGACAAATTCTGCGGACACCCATTTGCGGATTTTCCCTTTCCTTAATAAAAATTGCCCCTATAAAATAAAAAAAACCTCATGATGTGATTGTAAATCTGGCCATCTATAAACTCTACAATAAATAACGTGTGGCAAAGCCTTTCTATGAGAAATCTGTAAACGTCCATCCAACGATCTTGGAATTGTCACACATTCAGTTAGCTCTCTTCCTTGCAAATTTAACGATTTTTCTAATAAACTAATCGATTCTTTGTTTTGTTTTTGTAATTTTTTCATTAAACTTTGAATTGCTTTTTTGGACCAACCATCATCCTCGTCACCTAAAAATTTTTGAAATTTTTTTTGAAAATTTTTTTAAGAAATTTTGGAAATGTTCAAACCTTGTTTCCATCCCAACCGCTTCATCAAACCATTCCCAAAGCCTTCCAAATTCATTAGAAAAAATTTTGATTGATAGAATTTAAAAATTTTCTAAAAAAATTGTTGGCACTGAAACGTCCAAAAATGGACAAAGATTTTGAATACGTTTTGTCGTAAAAGAAATCTTGATTAATGTTTACTATATTTGTATCAAAATTCTATTTTTCAAATTAAGTGGGCCATTTTTAGATTTTACTTTATTCTCTCTAATAAAGAGAGTTTCATTCTATATTTCAACCCCCTAAAAAATTTTTTTTTGAAGAATATTAATTTCAAAGGTTAAAGAGAACACGGTATTATAAGGAAAATAGTAAAAAGGAATTTTTGTTTTAATTTTAGGAAAATATTTTGAGAGAATCACGTGATTTTCAAGCTTTTTAGACATTAATTAACGGTAATTTTTGCCTTAATTAAGGGTACTGAAAATGCTCTAAAAATACTTTACACCTACATTTTTCTTTTAATTTTTTTTCTAAAAACTTCGATTTTTCATTAAATAAGAAATTCCTTTTGCCTTCTTTCACCAAAAAAAATTTTTTTTTATTTAATTTATTGTTCTTATTTTTTTCTTTTTAGTCGCTAAATTCTTGTAAATTCAGCAATTTTTAAATATTTTTGGTGAATTTTTTTACTTCCTTTAAATAATTTTTTATTTTTTAATCATTTATTGTTTAATATTTAAAAAGAACAAATACAAACGTATTTTCCTTTTCATTTTAACAATTTATTTAAAATTACAGAAAATACAAATAAAATACCTAAAGTCAGAATTGTATTTTTTTGTATTTTTGAATTAAAACTTAAATTCTGATAAATTTGTTAGAAAAAATCAGAATTTAATTTTTGTATTTTCTTCTATTTTATTAAAAATACAAATTTCTGATTTATTAAAAGGTCAGAATTCTAATTTGTGTTTTTAGTGTTTTAATGAAATACAAAAATTCTGATTTTTTTTATAAAAGAAAACACAAACAGAAATTATTTAAAAATACAAGATAATAAATTATTCTGAAAAATAAACAAAAATACATTTATTCTGATTTGTATTTTCTATTTATTCTGGTTTTGTATTTATTTATTCTGGTTTGTATTTTACAAGAAAACACAAATAAAAATTATTCTGAAAAAATACTTTGATAAAACATAAGAATACATTTATTCTGGTTTTGTATATCTGGTTTTGTATTTACTTATAAAACCAGAATATTTGTGTTTTTGTGTTTTTTGTGTTTTCTTTACAAATTTAATTTTGTGTTTTCTCTACAAAAACAGAATAATTTTTATTCTTGTATTTTTAAACCTTTTCAGAATTTTTAAATAATTTTTGTGTTTTCTTTTTTCAATTCCACTGGGATACAAAAGTGTTTCTTTTTCAGTCTTAAATTCAGTTTCTTCTTTCTCCTCCTAAACTCTCGAAAATTAACTTAAAATTTTAAGTCTGCCTTTCTTTTATATTTTTTCTGTTTAAAAATTGATTGTGAAAAAAGGATTATTTTTTAAAAAAAAGTTTGACGAGAGAAAAGAAAAATAAATAAAATAAAATATCCACTAAACAATTGATTTTCACTTCAAAAAAGCTTTTTGTTATTTCTTTAATTCTTTTTTATATTTAATCAATCACTTAACACGTTCACAAATATTTTAAAAAATTTTTAAAATAAAAATGCTGACATATGGAGATTATTTATTAAATAAAACTTTAATTTATCGCTTGATTTTTTTAAATAATTAAAAAAATTTTTTGTCACCAAAAATATTTTGGGATAAATTCCAGATTTATTTTAGAATTTTCTTTAAATATTAAACCCAGAAAAAGCAACAGAAAGGAAAATAATCATCAACACATGTCAAAATATTTTAGTTTTTTCCTCTCTTTTATTTTATTAAAATACCAAAATTCTGATTTTTATTTTGTATTTTGTTAAAGATTAAATTCTGTTAATAAAAATTGGTAGAAAATACAAATCAGAATCTATTTTGTATTTTCTTCTGTCTTTTTAAAAACACAGAATTCTGATTTTTTAAATTAATATATTGAAACACCAGAATTATTTTGTGTTTTTAATGTTTTAACAAAATAACAGAATTTTGATTTGTATTATTTTGTATTTTTCAAGTAAAATTTAAATTCTGATAAATAAAAATACAAATCAGAATGAAAATACTAATTTAAATGAAAATACAAATCAGAATTTAATTTGTATTTTCCCTATTTTAGTAAAACACTAAATTCTGATTTTTTATTAATTTATTAAATGACCAGAATTTTTGTATTTCTTTAATAAAAAGACATTGTGTTTTTGTTTTAATAGAAATACAAGAATTCTGATTTGTATTTTATCTCTAATTTAGAAAATTAATTTTAGTTGCCTAAATTCTGATTTTAGTATTTCTTTTAATTTATTCGTAATTTTATTTTAATTTTAGTTGATTTAATTCTGATTTGTATTTCTACCATTTTATAATAATTCTGATTTTTAATTTAAAAAACACCAGAAAACACCAAAACAAAATGAAATGGAATTATTAAAAATTCTGCTGCTGCTTTCCCTAACTTTATTAATAGTTGTCGTCACATTATTTTTGCTAGCACTTTTTTGTTACTTTCCACCTTCTTGTTCATTTTTATTGCCTATGGGATTGCGGAGAAAATGTAAAAACACTGTTGGCCAAGGAAATTCAGAACAAGTGGAGGTTTCTAGATCTGATGGATCTAATGGATTTTATGGTTAGAAAATTTCTTTGAAAAATTAAAAAAAATATTTCTTCAGAAATTTCTCTCAAAGGAAATCTCCCAGACAGAGGGAATACAACAAATGAAGGGCAACAACCGCCTGCTTCTGCTTCTGACGTTCCAGAAATCGTGTTAACTACTGCCTCTATGAAAATGAGGAGACTTTGAAAACGATAAACTTTGAATTTTTTTTATTTTGTAACTATAATGTACATATTAAAATATTTAAATTTTCGAAAAAAAATTTCATCAGAAATGAAGTCCAAACATTTAATGTGTAGTTAAATTGGGCAAAAATAATTTAAAGGAAATAAGCAATAAAAGAATCAAAATAAGAACAATCCCCCCAAGTAATAAAACAATTGCACATTTAAGTCGGTTTGACGATTTTTTATAGGTTACAGCTTTGTTCATTTGTTTTCGAGCTTGATTAGTATATTCCAATGCTGACTGTACATTTTTGTCGACTCTATCCACTATTGTACCCTTAAAAATTAAATAAACTTGAATTAATTTACAAATTGTAAAAAATAAATTTTAATGTGAAATATTTACAAAATAAACTTTATTTTTTACAATTAAGGTTTAATTTACAATTTACAAATTAATTAAAGTTTATTTTGTAAAATAAAGTTTATTTTTTACAATTAAACTTTAATTTATAACTTAGAAAAATAAACTTGAATTGTAAAAACTTTACAAATTAAAGTTGAATTGTAAAAAATAAAGTTTAAACTTGAAACTTACAAAACAACAAAGTTTAATTAATTTACAATTTGTAGATTGAATTGTAAATTAAACTCTTACTTAAATAAACTTTAATTTACAAATTGTAAATTAAATAAATTGTAAGAAACATTAAACTTGTTTAAAACTTACTTGCGAATGTACCAAAGCTAACATATCACCAAAACACTCGTTTAATTCCCCAATACTCTTTTCTAATTTTACCAATTCATTATGTCTGTCAGATGCTTCTTCTAAAGCCAAATGAGCAGCCACATTCATTGGGTTAATATTTCGATAAAAAATTTGTTCAGATTTTTCCTCCAATAAGTGTTCTACATCTTCCTGGTTCAACGGCTCTCCAGCAAGTTCTAATTGTCTTTTAACTCTTTCTTTAAAAATTAAAAATTTTTTTCAAAGAATTTAAATCTCCCCCTTACTAGTTACTCGTTGTCGATAATCTTCTCTCGATTTTTGAAAAGTTTCGAGTATTTGACAAAATCTTCGTTTAAGTTGTTCAACTTGATTTAAATTAATTCTTTGTGTTGCATTACTAGTCAAATTTAAACTTTTTTCTTGTTGTTGTTCAAATTCAAGTTTTTGCAAATTTGTTCTCAATTCCCCTACAAGTTTGCGAAATTGGTTAATAATAAAATCTAATTGTTGTTTGTCTTGCGGTTCCGCTATTGTTCGGCAAAGTATAGTTTGTTGAACTTGCAGCATTTGTTTAATAAGACAATCAATTTCATCCAAGCATGAGTTCATTTTGGCAATTTGTTGAAGAAAGTAATCATTGTTGCCGAGTTGCAAATTGTTTGTTAAACCGGAAACAGACAATTCAGCCGGTGAACGAAGTGAAGGACGCGCCTTTAATTGTTTAAAAGAAAACATTAATAAAAACAAATTTGTAAAACTAGTTTTACTTAAGAACAAGTGTTGTAAAAAAATAATAAATTAAATTGTAAAACTTAGAATTAAGATTGTTTTAATTAAAAATAAGTTTGTAAAACATGTCTACTTAAAACTAAGTTTGTAAAACATGTTTACCTAAAATTATGTTTGAAATAAAATCAAGTTTGTAATTTCAATTAAGTTGAAAAAACAAGTTTTAGAAATTAAGTTTGTGAAACAAGTTTTGGTAAAATGTTTTAAACAACTTGCCGAACAAAACAAACTTAATTTTTTTAAAGTTTTAATCAAAAAATAAAAATATTAAGTTTGTAAAACATGTTTACGAACATATTTTTAAGTTAGTAAAAAATGTTCACGAACATATTTTCAAGCTTGTCAAACAAGTTCACAAACCTAATATTTTAAAGTTTGTAAAAAGACAAACAAAATAATTCCAACCTTGTGCAACTCTTGCAGTCTATCCTTAACCATCTTCTAATTTAAATGTTTTGGGTATTAAAATAAAAATTTTTTATTTATTTAAAGCTTAAAAATTTTTGTTTTTGTTCAAAAATACAAATATGAAAATGCTTTTACAACTTAATCTGAAAAAATTGGGGCAGATGAATCATTTTAGAGAAAGGAAAGAATTATTGAATATTTTGAGTCAGATGGTTGACAAAGAAATTTAAAATAATAGAGAAAACATTGTGAATGAGAATATGTTTACCTCTTCATGTTTCTTTTTTTACCCTGCGTGTATATTTTATTTTTTACGAAGAGAGAGGGGAATGTAAAGGTAGCGCGGCTGGCAATAAATAAAATATTTTCAAAGAATTTTTATGTGAATTCGAAAAAAATATTTTTTTTAATTTAATGAATAACTGTGAAAAATAATAAAAATATTTTTATAATTTTTAAAATAAAATTAAATAATATTTAGACTTTATCCTTAACCATGTTTTCAAAAAAAGGGTATTTGTGTAGTTTACACCCCATAAGCCCCGCCCCTTTGTCCTTTTTTCCTCCTTTATAAAAATGTTTATTAAAATATTGACCCAAACGGTCATTTTATAGGGATAAAGCGAAAGAAAAAGCTGAAAGAAAAAGAGGCGGGGCTTATGGGGTGTAAACTACACAAGTACAAAAAAGATCTATTTAAACTACAAATTGTAAAATCTAAGTTTGTTTTCAAGCTTTTTCCTAAGTTTCAACTATTTAAATCACTCTTTTCTCTTGTTGTGTTTATTCCGCTTGTTTTTTGTTCCAAATCTTGTTTAATTGGAAGAAATTGTTGTTGAGAAAAATAATTGTTATGATTGTTTGGATAATAAGAAGCTAAATGACTAAACATTTGATTTGTAGTTGTATTGTGATTACTGTATGTTGGTATTTGTGTTAATTGAAGAGGAGGATAGTTGGAAGAAGATGAGGGGGATGAAGAAGACCAGAAATCTTTAAAAATAACATTTTTAAATTTGTAAAAATAAGTTTGTAAAACATGTTACAAGTTTGTAAAAATAGGTTTGTTGTAAAAATGTTTTATTAAAAATTAAGTTTGTAAAACAAGTTTTACTAAATAAGTTATTAAAAAATTCAGAAACAAGTTTTATAATGTTTATCATAAAACAAGTTTGTAGAAACAGTTTTATTAAAAAATAAGTTTGTAAAACATGGTTTGTTAGAAAAACAAGTTCGGAAACAAGTTTTATTAAAATAAGATTCATTAAAACATGTTCTAAGTTTGTAAAACATTTTTTACAAAATAAACAAGTTTGTAAAACAATTTTAGTAAAAACAAGTTCTGAAACAAGTTTTATGTTTGAATTAATATTTCTTAACAAACAAGTATGAAAACAAGTTTGTAAAACATGTTTAAGTCAAAATTAAGTTTGTAAAACATACTAACCATTACTAGCACAAAAATTACTAGTTTGAGGCTGAAAATAATTATAATTTACAGCCATCTGCATAAGAGCATAATAATTTGTATTACTATTGGAATTATTGTTCAAATAATTATTATTAATTAAATAATTATTATTCCATTGTTGATTTAAATAAAAATTTGTATTGTTTTCAAATTTTGGTAAGAGATTGTTTTGTTGATATGTTGGGGTAGTTGTTGTTGTTGGTTGTTGTTTTATTTGTTTTGTTTGATAAACATGTTTGTTTGTTTGAGTGTTTGTTTGGCTTTGTAAACTTGTTGTTTCCTTCAAAACTTTATTAATTAATTCATGCTGTTCATCAACTTGGTTTGTAAAACATTTTTTATTTTTAATTTCCCCAATGTTGTTTTTAAATGTTTTTGGCTCCTCTTCTTCCGTAGCGTCCGTAGACTCTTCTCTTTTAATAAAACTTGTTGAAGCTCCAGAATTATTTATATTTGCCGTCCTTTTTCTGTAAATTTCAGCTTCATTTCGCATTTTCTCAAATTTACGTTCATTTTGCATCTAAAAATTTTTGTGATTTTTTATTTTAAGGAGATATTATTTTTTAACCTTTGCACGTCTATTTTTGAACCAAACCTTAAAATAAAAAATTTTATTTTTAATCAACATAATATTGGATTATTGACAATAAAATTGTCAAAAGATGAGCAATATTTCTAAAATTTTGCTTAGTCATGTCTAACAATGTTAGATACCTTTTCTAAAAATTTCAGAATTTTTGGCCCAATGTTTCAGAAATTCTAGTTAAATAAATCATATAAAGAGACGTTAATTTTTGCCATAACTTTTAGAATAAATAGCCAAAAATTTCGATATTTTTAGTAAATTTAGTTAATACTATCATTTATGTTTCTACGAAAATTCACGTTTCTAGGTACTTTTATCTCTTATTTACAGACATTCGCGTAAACATTACTATTGTAAGGATCAAAGGTGTAATCCTTGAGAAACTATTGAAAACTATGAAAAGCTTAAAGGTGTAATTCTTGGGAAAGTGATAGAAACCCCGCCTAAAGAAAAGGTGCATTTAAGCTAAAGGAAAATAAGGAAAAGCAGCTTAGTTGATGTTCATTCCAACTTAGTTCTCTATTAATCAATGGCCTAGTGTTCGGTCGGCTATAAGCCTGACCAAGTGGTTAACCAATAATCATTCACCCCGCTCGCTTGCACTACCTCTGGGTATTCTATCCTATTCTATTCAATTCTATTCTATTCACCGCACGCATAATCAACATCTCTCTTAATTAGGGCTGGCCCCTCTAATTAAATTATTTACTGGTAGCACCGGATGGTTCAGCGAAAGCTGAACGCATGACGGTCTATCTCGCGTGCTTTCCCCGGACCAGCTCAATGCGCATGACTGGTCCGGGAGGCGGCGGGTGGAGGATTGAGGGCTTCGGCCTTAAATAAATAAAATATAATTTGGCCTTAAATAAATAAAATAAAATACAAATTATATATAAATTAGTCAATAAATTGATCAAAACTACAAATACATCATCAATTACTTAATTCATCAAAAAAAAATTCTAAAGAAAAATTCTAGTCTAAAGAAAATTCTAGGCTAAAGAAAACATTCTTAAAAAAAATCAGGGCTTTGGCCTTAAATAACCTAAATAAATTATATAAAAATATAAATTATGCAACACCTCAAAAAAAAGAAACAACAACAAATGAATTTTTTAATTGATTAATCAAATTATTCTCTACAAATGTTTTTATAAAATAAAAAATTAACATTCTAAAAAAAATTCTGATTTTCAAAAACTGATTTCGCATTTTCAAACGAATTTTTTTCATTTGTAATTTGTTTTGAAAATATCTTTAGATTATACTTATAAAACTGTATTTTTGGAAAATATATTTTGAAATTCTAGTTCCTTTCTAAATTAAAATTTCTGATTTGTCAAATTCTGATCTTTTCAAACTCTGATTTTTACAACTCTGATTTTTCAAATACCTTCAAATTATGATTTATTTTTAAATTCTAATTTTTCAAACTGATTTTTACAAATTCTGATTTTTCAAATTCCCATTTTTCTTTAACTTCTGAGTTTTGTGATTCTGCTCGTACGTCTATTACGATACAATAAAAATTTTTTGACTACTACTTCAAATAATATTTTAAACGACAATGCTTCTACTCTGCTTTGAGCGTAATTTTTTTAATAATTTAAAAATAGAAAAGAAACTAAAAATCAATTAGAAAGAAAAATAAATTTTTGACTTTGAAGCTGATTTTTTTTTAAATAAAACATTCACTTTTCTTTCTCAGATTTCACAAACTCAGAATTCAAAATACCGTTTATTTTGTTTTCCGATTCCAAGAATATTTTTTTTGTTGTTCCCTTTTCGAGTTTTTCAAAGAAATCTCTCCATATTAGTACCTTACAAAATTAATTTTCATATTTAAGGACAAGGTCCCAACAAAATTTTTTTTGGTATTGTTTTATTTATTGCAGGATTTTTGTTGACTTCTATGCCAAAAATAAATATTGACTATTCGACCGAAAAATTCAAATTCTTAAAATTTTTCGAGAAACAAATTATAGTTTTTGAAGAAAATTTTCTTTCCGAAAAATAAATACCAGAGCGTGTCAATTTCGCCTTTCTGGACTTTCGCGTGTCATTTTTAAATTTACTTTCACCTTACGCGTTTCGCATTTTTAAATTTAATTTTATCTTTAACATTTTAATTATTGAAAAAGTTCGACACACCCCTTTCTCACCCCCTTCATTTCTCTAAAAAAACTGAATTAAAAAAAAGGGCTGATTTTTATAATTTTGATTCGATTACCTTATTCTTTTCTATTTTATTTCTAATTTTTTTTTGATCGCGCTTTGTCTTATTAAATACAAAACCAAAAAGGGACACTTACAAATTTAAATCATAAATACACATTGAGAACGATTAGACCATTCAGAAAATTTTTATACATGTTGCGCTTTATTCCGTAATTTTTTTTAAAAATCAATTTTAAATATATTCCAACGTTCAAAAATTTCATTTTTATATTTATTTATATTTCCACAAATTTATCCCACATTCCAGAAGGGGTTATTATAAAGTATCAGAAGTGTGTTTTTAAAGTTTTTTTAAATCCTTTTTAAAGCCCTGGTTAAAATTGTATTCCACTTCTCAAAAAAAAATACCAAAAATGTTTTTAATTTATTAAAAAAAATTAAATTTATTTAACCAATAAACTCTTTTAAAATCAAAGGTCAAAGTTAAAGCTAATCCTGCAAAATATATTTCCCATACTTGTAGTAAAGTGAAAAAGTGTAGGATAAAAAACACTTTTCTTGTGAAAGAAAAGTAGCGATCGGAAAGATGATAAAGCTTTTAAGCCTTTAGAATAGTAGAAAATATTCCCAAACATTACAATGAAAAAAAGGGAATAAGAAAGTTGAAGAAGAATCTAAGAAGGAAAGTCCACTAATGGTAAAGCAATAAACAATGCACTATCTCCTCTTCAAGTCGTCTTATAATTATTAAATTATTGAAAATAAACAAAATACTTTATTTCCTAAGGGTTTATGAAATCTTTACAGCCTCCTAATATAGCAAGTGCTTCGGCACAAGATAACCTTTTTAGTGCTTTGGCATCAAATAACCAAACAATTTCATCAGCTCCGGCAGAAGATATTTCTATCAATGTAGTAGACAAGCTATTAAAGTCAGGGCAAATAGCGAGTAACCAAGCTAAAAAGCAGACTTAGAGAAAGCACATAGTAATACAATTAGGTTGGAAGAAGTGTTTAACAGCTCTCCCAGAGTCATAAATCACAATGTAAATCAAAATTCCACAAATGTAAGCAAACTCGCATATGAAGTAAATAACGGATTTGCTACCCTGAGAGCACAAATAGAAAGTTTTGCGGACAATTGAGTCCCGAAATAAAGACAAGTAATGGTCCCTGTCTTCCATAAATAAATCATTTCGAAGGAAACCCTTCTCTGGGGAAAATCTATTAATAATAGCTCAAATAATGACCACAAAGATTAAATTTCAGAACACACAGTTAACATGCTACATTACGAAGAAATACCACGTTTGGAAATTTATTCTGATGGCAATTTGAATTAAAGAAGAAAAGCTTAATCGACTTTCGCTTTTCCTAGAGTACACTCCCAATCAAATTTTAGAAAAACTAATCCCGCAGATCTAACATCACATCAAGAAGCAATAAAGTCTATACGAAAGGAATTGGATTCACCTCAAAGACATGTACTCAAGCTCTCTCATTCTATAAACAACATGAAAATGAAACAGTCAAAGATTTTCTTTCATGATTTCGACCAATAACATTAGCTACAGCAACAGACTACGAAGGATCCGCACTTGAACGACACCTATGCGAATTATTACTTGAACGGCTCAAACGCAGCATCTCATTCTATATGAAACTCCTGAATTGCACGCAAACTGGCAGAAGCTTTGAACAATTGTGTATGGATGCTAGAGAAGTTGAAATAATGCTACAACGTGTGAGTGGAACTACTTCTATGCCTCAGGCCTATCCGCAACTCAATGCTATGCAACAACTTCAATCAAGTTACATGATTCAACCAGGTAAGTTTCAATCTTTAAATCATACAAATCCTAACAGAGAACAACCTCGCAATGGCTGGAGGTACAATTCAAACGGATACTCAAGAAACCAAAATAATTTCAAAAACTTTCAGAGAAATGATCGTCGCGGACAATCATTTGGAACTCCATTTAATGAACGACGTTGGAACAACAGACCTATATGCAATTACTGTCAAAAGGTCGAACACTTCGCAAGCACTTGTCGAACAAGGATGGCTGAATATATGGACAAGCAAAAAGGAAATGCAAACATGACACAAAGTTCCTCAAATCAACGCTATTAAGAAAGGTACAGTGACTCAATTTTAAAAGAAATATTAATGGAGATACGTAATCCTCAAGCAGGGTAACAAAATAAAATAGACACTTCGCAGCAATATTCGAACCATTGAAATTGGGGACCACAAACAAGAAAAAGTAAAAGAAAATAGTACCATCTGTAACAGAGACCCAAGTAAAATTAAAACTTCCTTCTGGGAATCTAAATTTACGACCAAAAAGGGGGACTATTAAGTTTAGGACCAAACCTAATAGTGTCTTGCGGCGCAACCTTTAGTGTACCTACACCTAGAATGCCTATGATCTGTCAAATGAAGAAACAATCTACACTTTGAACTTTACCGCAACTTACTCATTGTCCGTCACTTATAAATAATGTCTCGCACACACCCATACCGCAGAATAGGTCCATACATATATTGAATGACTTAGAATATAGTACTAAAGGTTGGGCATGTAGAATAATCAAGAAATCAGTAAGAAAATTTACGTCTCTCTCAAATGTACCAGTGACTGAAAGGATCGGAAATGCTAAGTGTGACTAAAAATGAATGTGCGCTTATGATTAAGGAAAAGCGCTGTAGTTTAGGTTCATTGACTAAAGAAAATGAAGTTTGGACAACACAGAATAAATTTGATATAAGTCCAAAAATATTGCTTTTAGGCTCCGTTTGGTGGACAGAAGTGTTAACCCAAAATTGCTTATTATTTAATGTTCAAATAAATTCTTACTGGGGTGAACCTGTTATTAGAACTCCTCTAGGGGGTACAACTAATTGTTCATACTCATAAGAAAGTTGTATATGGAATGATAAGTAGAGCGTGTTTTTAGGTCCAAAAAATCGTGAAATAGGATCCTATTTAGGTCCAAAAAAAATTTCCAAATTAGGTCCGAAATAGGTTGAAAAGGCCAAAATAGGTCAAAATTTAAATAGGTTCTAATTTTGGTTGAAATTAAAACATTTATGATATCAAATTTACTAAATTTGAAATTTTTTTTGATATTTCATAATTTTAAATAGAAATTTATCATAATTTGAGTGATATAACAATGCCTAACCCTAAATACCATAGCATTTGAAGCGATTTCGTGATATAAGGGAGTTGACGAGATAAACTGGTATATCAGTGGATTTGACTTGAATAGGGATTTATTGTGTAAAAGTGATTTGGATAGACGGAGGAGTTGTAGCATCTAATTTAGATATAGAATGATAAAAAAAATATATCTTTGATTTTGCATTATATCGTGAGATTTTTTTTCGCTTCAAATCCATCTAGGGGGATTCTGAAGTATAAGGGGAAATGAAAAATTAAAAACTAATTTACTAAAAATAATAATCCAGAACCCCTCTTAACAACACAAATCTCTGTTATCTCTTTTAATCGCCCAAATCAATTATTTCACTCCAAATTCACTAATACATTTTCCATCCTTCAAAATTCCCAAATAAACAAATAAAAATGTTAAATTTTTTTTGACCAAAATGGTTAGGCATTAAAGTTAAATAATCAGAAAAATCACTGAAATGTCTAATATAAATGTCAACCTGACAATTTTCATGGCCATTTCTAGTACGATGGCAGATTTTAGTTCCTACTAATTGTTAGCGCCGCGGGCAAAATATTTTTGGGTGTCTGAGATGCCTGATTTGGCGGGAATTAGCTAAAAATAATCAACTTTTAAGAAAAATTTTCAAAAAACCTAAATAGGTCCAAAAAAGGTCAAAATAGGCTCAAAATAGGTTTTAGGTCCGGAAGGGCCGAAATAGGTTTTTAGGTTTTAATAACACGAAAAGTGCGTTACACTATGCGGTAAAACAGTGTTTTTCGACTTATATCATCAAGGGTTGTTCGCAAAAAAAATAGGTAAAAACCTAAAAAACATGCTCTAATGATAAGACAATACTAGAATGGGTTCCAAACAAAGATTAATTTTGTAGATATATTAAATTTGGGGAGTTTGAAGGGAAACTTTTAGCCAATTCAGTTAACAGCCCATACCAATTCAGTTAACAACCGAAAAACTAAAGCACCTTGCTTTCCTAGAACCAACAACAATGATAATTCAGCCAACTTCAAGAAAAGCACCCTTTGCTCAGTATCAAAGAATAACCTTAGAATTAGACAATAACGTTATTGAGATTGACCAAATTACTGAGGAAGTAACCAAACTCCATCCTAGGGCAATGAAAACCAAGGAACTAAAGGCATTTGATATACCAGAAATTAAGGCACATTCCTTTTACCAACTAATTTTAGTAAATCTAACAGATCACACTAACTTGGTGAAAGTGAGTGAACTTTCTTACAGACTTGAAAATACGGACATGGTTATAACTAAAACGCTGTCTGAATAGTGGAAAGAAGCTGGTGACAGTCTGACAAAAGAAATAATTGGGGATTACACTTGGGCTTGGAAAATATTAATAACCCCCATTATCTCAATTCTAACCCTAGACCTATCAGTCAAGTGGGGACTAAAAATCCTTGAAGTCTATTTAGGCGAAGGACAATTAGGCAGAATGCTATTTCGCAGGGCTACTCCCACTGTCAATCAAGTTCAAAAATTTGTAGAACAAAATCCACTGAAAGAAAAAGTGAACGAAGGTAAACCTGAACCTAAGTCATGGATTCCTAAAGTTTCTAAATTTCCGAGTCCAGACACAAGTCAAGAGGTCATAAATATGCTAACCGTAGATCCTCTATTAAAATTTAGGGCTTCGGCCTCAAATAACCAAATAAACTTTACTTACCCAAGCACGGCAGTAACAAGAATTAAAATAAATAATCAACAAATAAACTGTTTAGTAGACACTGGGACAAGCATCTCTATCGCTCCCCTATCGCTCGCCAAATTTTTAAATGCAAACATTGAACCTACAAGCATAAGCATAACTTCTGCCTCAGGGCATGAGATTTCAGCGAACGCACAAATGCAAGTATTTTTGGATTTAGGTGGACACAAACAGACCGCAAACATTAACCTAGTAGAGGACAAACAATTACTTGAGAAACGCAACTACCAAATTATATTAGGATGTGACTTATTGAAAACATTGCCAAATGTCACATTTGACTTTACTAATGAAAAATCTGGATTGGAGATAAATTTCTAAATTTAGGAACGGAAAATTTAGCACTAGTAACTGATGTTAGAATAGCAGCCTTGGAACCCACAACAATACCTCCGGGGTCTAATAAAATTATTAATGCAAAGATAGAATCTACGTTTAATTTTGACCAGACAATTTCACATTCATTAGATGAACCTTAGCTGAGGATAATTTAGGACTTATTAGCACAGCTTTCAACGCATCTAATAAAATAGCAAGCCTGTTAATAACAAAACCAACAAACGCACCCAAACATATCTGTAAAGGAATGCACATAGCATACGCAAATGAACTTAGGGAAAGTAAGGAAGGACCGTGGCTCATTGAAACCGTGTCCGCTCAACTCATCTAATCCTTAACTCATCCACACGCCCAAAAACGCTCAACTCATCTAAACGGCTAAAATTCCTTAACTCATCCACACGGCCAAAAACGCTCAACTCATCCAATCCTCAACTCATCTAATGCTTAACTCATCCACACGCCCAAAAACGCTCAACTCATCCAATCCTCAACTCATCTAATGCTTAACTCATCTACACGCCCAAAAACGCTCAACTCATCCAATCCTTTGGAACGAGACTATTGAGTACCAGTCGTTTGAGTCCCTGGCCGTTTGAGTCTCTGGCCGTCTGAGTCCCTGGCCGTTTGGTCTCTGGCCGTCTGAGTTCATGACCAGTTGAGTCCCTGGCCGTTTGAGTCTCTGGCCGTCTGAGTTCATGACCAGTTGAGTCCCTGGCCGTTTGAGTCTCTGGCCGTCTGAGTTCATGACCAGTTGAGTCCCTGGCCGTTTGAATCTCTGGCCGTCTGAGTCCATGACAAGTTGAGTCTCTAGCCGGTTAAGTCCCTGGTCAGTTGAGTCCCGGCCGTTTGAGTGGTTGATTACCGCCGGTTGAGTCTTGGGCCGGTTGAGACTCAACTGACCAGGGACTCAACCGGCAGATATTTCAAAAATTGGATGAGTTGAGCGTTTTTGGGCGTGTAGATGAGTTAAGCATTAGATGAGTTGAGGATTGGATGAGTTGAGCGTTTTTGGGCGTGTGGATGAGTTAAGTGTTAGATGAGTTGAGGATTGGATGAGTTGAGCGTTTTTGGCCGTGTGGATGAGTTAAGTGTTAGATGAGTTAAGGATTGGATGAGTTGTAGGGTAGCCCATTGAAACTGACAAAATTAGGCTAAGCCAACCCAGCATAATACATGACATAGAAAACTTAGTCAACTCTTTAGAGATAGACCCAAATTTTGTAATTGATTTTTCCAAAAGTTCAGTAAAAGTGTATGACCTCATGAGACTAAAGGAGCTATGTGAAGAATTTTCAGACATTTTTATAAAAGCCAATACGATCTAGGTCCATGTCTAGTAGGGGAACATGATATAATTAATACGACAGAGGAACCAATCTCCACAAGGCCTCATAGAGTACCATTCAATAACAAGTATCATTCAATAGAGTACCATTCAAATACCAAGACGAATTTTATGACCATATAGACAAACTACTCAAGTCTGGAGTAATGATTAAATCAGATACACAGTGGGTATCAAACATTGTTCTAGTATAGAAAAAGGACGGGGGATTAAGACCGTGTATTGATTTTAGAAAGCTCAACGAGATAACGGTCCCGGATCACTCCCCACTACCTAGATTTGAAACAATAATGGAAAAAGTAGGAAGCTGCAACTCTTACTTGCTCTTGGATCTCTCAAGCGGCTATTTACGAATCAGACTCACTGAACGAGCTTCGCGCAAATGCGGACTTATTACCGAAAATGAAATTTACCAAATGACCCATATGCCTTTTGGTCTAAAAAATGCTACCTTTTGCAAAAGTAATGGCTCACGTAATTAGTGGGCTAGAAGATAGCGTTATAGCATATGTCGATGATTTTTTAGTATTCACAAAAGATCCTGAATTTGATAAACACCTTAAGGCACTTAGACAAGTTTTTGATAGACTTAGAAAATATTACCTCAAAGTAAGTCCCAAGAAATGCATACTAGCATCGACTCAAATGAATTTCTTAGGGCACACTATTAACTCATCTGGATACTCACCTAGTTTAAGTAAAGTTGAAACAATCACAAACCTACCTGCTCCCACAAACC